CAAAATAATACACTTTATGCCTGAAAAAAACTTGTGGCAAAGTTTGGTGAGTTTTCATGTTTGTAAAGTGGGTCAAATATGAGATCAAACAAATAAACCCAAATAACTGTATCCCCATGTGAACCTTTACTCAGCCTGTAGGGGGCGCTAATGGGCCAATGTCATTGTTCACACTGTCATGTGACCTAAGCCCAGGAGTTGAACAACCGAGTCAAGTTTAGTGCAAATCAGAGTTTGTGTATGTGCAAACAGGAGCACATATAATCTGTGAGTGTGTCCACACACAGTCTCCATTGGATAACATGAGATTTTCACACCTCTCTATGAAAATGACCACACTTTGGGAGTCTATCACCCTCAGACCGTTTGACTAATTAAAACTCTATATGCAACTATTGATGGTCCATGTGTGGAGACCATGTGGAGCAATTTTCAGCCAAATTAGTGAAACGGCCGCGGCTGGTTTGATGTTTGAGCGAGGTGTACTTTTAAGAGATTTAACGATTTTCTCATAGACACAGACAGGGGAGTGTTTGTGGTCGTCACGGCAACAGGGTAAAAAATAATCATATGTTGTAATTGACGTTTTGAATCCAGATGACAAAACAGAATTATATGCAAAATTTCAAACATTTTGAAAAAACTAAATTTTATTAGGCCCATGTAAAACTTTGACATAGTCTCTAGGGGGCGCTAATGAGTCAATTTCAATATTTCAACTTTCAAATGACCTAGACCCTGGAGCTGAACAATGGATTAAAATTTTGTGCAAATCTGACTATTTTTGTGCAAATGGGAGCAAATTTACTTTTGTCAAAAATTGGAAAAAACATGTCACATTTTGCCGCTCCGCTGCTCGGACAACGTTTAACTGATCCACATTCTATATTCAATAATAGATGGTACATGGGTTTAGACCATGTGGAGCGATTTTGAGACAAATCGGTGAAGCGGCCGAGGAGGAGATAATTTCCAGCCGACATGTGTGAAAAAGATCAATTTTCATTTTTACATTTTCCAATTAAATTAATGAGCTTCCTGTTTGTCAGGGGGCGGAGCCATAATAACTTTTTTTTCATGTCTTGACCTGAGGAACATGTGTACCGAATTTCGTGGCTCTACGACAAACTTGACCTCCGACCCCCTCCCATATTAATTTTTCACCAGTTCTGAATTTTGGGCAAAATTTCACAACTTTTCATCAATGTTCAGGGGGTCAAATTAAGGCTCAAAGCGCAGAAGAAAAAAGAAAGAAAGAAAGAAATAAGGAATTTTTTTTTGAAATCTTCGAGCAAAAACAATATAGGTTTCTATAGTAACCTATAATACAAATGATACGTCGTTTTAAAGCGAACGACCAGACGAACGCAACTATTGGGTTCTCGGTGATTGACGAGCGCTGACGCGCTCGTCAATCACCTCGCCATCATAAGGTCACCCACCCCCCCCATAGGACCCCATTCATTACACTGTACTACAGCAGGAGCAAAGCCATTCAGTGCCTCCGGCACTGTTTTGTCAGTGTCTGGACACGTGCCGTCGGGCTTGGGGGGGCCGTCGGGCTTGGGGAACTGTTTTAATGTCCGGGCAAAGCCCGGACATTAAAACAGTTCAACGAGTAATTAAAACAGTTCAACGAGTAATTAAAACAGTTCAACGAGTAATTAAAACAGTTCAACGAGTAATTAAAACAGTTCAACGAGTAATTAAAACAGTTCAACGAGTAATGCCTGGGCTTTGCCCAGGCATTACTCGTTGGAAAAGCAATAGGCCCTTACCCCGGTTGGGGCTCGGGCCTAATAACAGATGCAATATACCAAACAAAATAATCTACTTTGAATGGTCGAAAGTCAAACAGAAAAGTAATGTGAGCGTAACCAACACAGTTCCTCACAGCTGAACCGTGCTGACCCTGGCTGCTGAGAGGATGTTTCTTTCCTGAAGCCATGAGACTAAACCAGTCTCTGTGTATCTGTTTTTTAGTTGTGTGTTCCGAATACTGTACTGAATATCTGCTGGAGGTTCATTAGAATTCCACATGTATTTGTATTTGATAATAATAATAAACTAAACAAAACTAAATCTATTCTTTACGTACACCTGCATTTGCCTGCACATGGGAGAATGAGACTATTGACTATTACTAAGGGTCAGTTAATAAGCCTTTCATTTAATAAACTATCTTCCATTTATCTCCGTTTCATCCATGGTCGAGTCATGGGGGCAGCAGTCTCAGCAGCGATGCACAGACTTCCCCATCCACACAAACCTTCTCCAGGTCAACCGGGGGAATCCTGAGGCGTTCCCAGGCCAGCTGAGAGACAAAGTACCTCCAGCGCGTCCTGGGTCTACACCGTGGGTCTCTTTCTGGATGGACATGCCCGGAACACCTCCCCAGAGAGTTGATAAACTTCAGACCTCAGTAGCAAAGCTGGGAGACTTCTGGGAACACCAGGTGCCACAGTGGTATGTGGCCTCCAGGCAGCTGTGGCTACTCTAGTAATTATCACCATGTATGGAGCGAATTAATCATTTGAAGCGTTTTTGAATGTCTATAATACGTGCACATTTTATACCCATTGGCACTGAGAAAGACAAAGTGTATGTGAATTTTATATGACACTTTTCTAATGTGTCACCTACTTACAGCATTTCTATTTAATCATTGGCACCAACAGAATGTAGTGATATAATTCTCTATAAAACTGCATAAAGCTCACATGTCTATCTTTTCATTTAGATATGTGATAAACAGAATATCTTTTATGCATAATCTTTCAGGTATTTTTTCCAATTTTTAATGTATTAATTTTGTTCCTTTCGGGTTTATTTTGTAATGTCCATAATACTGTGTACAAGTAATAGAGTGTAGCTTGTTTCTAGTTCTCAAAGTCCAACCACTGACTTCCGTGTGGGCGCATTGTGCGGCCGGAGCCATGAGAAACATGGGGAATACATACTGTGACTGAGTTCTGCAGTTTGATGACTGCTGATGTATTGCGACTGTGTGGACGTGGCCTTTAACTGGCAGTGTCCAGAGGAATGTGAAGAATGAGAGTGAGATCACCACAAGCGGAGGTTTGGCAGCGATTCCGCGGACAAAGCTCTTTTCTACTTCCCTCCCAAGGACAACAACAATTATTACAAAGATGATTCTTGATTGAATCTTCCTGCTTTTCCTCAAATGGTCTCCCAAATACAACAGATATTTTCACACTATAAATGTGTTTTTGTCTATGGTCTGCTCTTGGACTGTTCTTAGACCAACCAGTCAGTAATGTTGATAATGGAGTGGGCACAGTGGGAGCTCCTTGTTTCTATGGAGATACACTTTAAAAGGATATTACATTGTTTTAATATAAGGGGTTCATATTGGGGGATAAAATAAGAAAAAAACCCCTTAGTCTTGCTCATAACAAAACATTGCAAGCAAGTCCTATGGCGTACCAAGCCTGAGACTACACAGATACAAAAATAGCCTAAAATACCTGGACACACATATATATCTTTCTATTTCTATGTCTTTACTGATCTAACGGGCATTTCAAGAAAACTTGCAGTAAGCAAAATCCAAATTGAATACATGAATTTTAATGGGGACCCCAAATATGACCAGTGCAAAATACATTCTGTATAATAATGAAATAAAACACAAAACAAATGTAAAAGTAAAAAAAAGTTGCAAATAAAATAAACGTGCTGCTTGTGTTGTATGCATTTCCCTCTTTTTTAGATGACCTTTGCTTTCACAGTAGAGTTGGTAGTTTGTTTAGTCGTGTGCGCACATTCCCTTTATACAACCAATGATATAAAACAAGTGTCAGTTTATGGCATTCAAAGAAAAAACTTAAAATAAAAGACCAAAACTTTTCAAAAAATAAAACTATTTATAGGTGAAGCTTTGGTCCCATTAAAAGTTATTTACAAACGAGCAGAAATACTTAAGGCTCAATATCATTTAGTATGATCAGAGTACCAGGATGATGAAGTAGTAGTGGTAGTATGAGTAGTCCATTGAAATAGCTAAACAGTGAATAACTCATATACTAGTTTGTGTTGACTTATATGGACCATTGAACTGTTAAAATAATCTTCTTTGATCCTAAACACCTTCAGTCCCAATCACATCACTGCGTAGTAAAAACATGGTATATCAGAAGTAACACAAGAACAACTTTGCGTACATTTCATGCGTTCATAGTAGATGTATCACGATTATGTCATTGTATCGTGTTGTGCCTTAGATATACACATAAATATTCATTGCAATATGTATCTCTAAAGTGTGTTTTTTTCGGCACAAAGTCTTGGTACTTGGTTTTTAGACCGTTCTCTAAAGATTAAAAAGTGTCACTATCACCGTCTGCCCAACTCAAACAATCAAACGGCAATATTTAATGGCACTGCATGTCTAAAACTGAATTATTTGACGCAGAAGACTGCCTCTCTTTCTACTAACATCATACTCTCACACATATACGTATTGTGTGTCTTTGTATAGGTCCAGAATTACATTGAAATGATGTAGCTTTGTAAATTCCTACATTTGGTTTTGCTTTGAAATTCTACAATAATACATTCTTTATTATTACAATCATTGTTGAGAGCTTAACTTGTGAAAAGATAACGGACCAAATCATGTATCATTAATTAAACTGTAAAAAAACATATTTAAAAAAAGATTCTTTGTTGTAAGTTTCTCATTATTCTCAAATATACATGTATTTCTTCTCTGTCTGATATAGATTTTTTGCTAACATGTAATCACTGAATTTAATTTTGTTTTTAGCGATATTGTGAACTGACCAAAGGGCCTTGTTGCCGTATCCTGCGTTTGCGTTGTCATTGGCATAAGGTAATCTCAACATCATCCCACAATGCATCTCTTGTTGCACTAAATTGTCCATAAACATGTGTTAAAGTGACAGACCGAGTTGAGAGCAAGTTTGTCCATTCAGCTTTTCTCCCGTTGGTCAGTGTCCATCTCTTTAGCATTAGCACTAGCTGTCCTGCTGGCTCTGGATCAGCCGCAGCTTGCTCTTCAGGCCCTGGTGGTAGGACGAGAGGCTGCTGTGGTCCTCCTTCAGTTTGCTGTGCTCCTGGATGAGGTGAGAGGAGGTCTGCTGCTCCCTCTGCTCCTGCTCCAGCTCCAACGACAGCTCCTGTCTGTCAGTCACAAGCCACAAAACTGCTCAATCGTTTTGTAGATTAAGATGAAGAGACTGTCAGACTGTACAATAAGTCACTTTAAGTCACTAATGCACTAGGAATAAAAAAAACCTGCACAGCTATGGCCACTCTTTCTTTAATTGCCACTTTTGATTGTACATAATATATCCTGAACGGACTATATTTGTTGCCTTTAAAATTCTGCACACTTCTGTCTTTTCACAAATCTGAGTGATTCTATCTATGCCAAATGTGACATGTACATTTCTCCTGTGTGAGGTCAATAAAAGTCTATCTTATCCTTTACTCGTCCCATAGTAAGGAAATTTCAGTGTTTCATCATCAGTTACAGAAAAATAGGAATGAGGAGCGGACAGCACAAGATAAATTAACATAGAAAATCTCTAACTCTAGCATGAAGTAAATGTAATCAAGTAAAACATCTCTATCTTTAGCATAATAAGAACAATGTTTACATCTGTACATGTTAGAAGCATGAGGCTCTGGGATAAAGTGACTGAACAGAGCAACAGTGACATGTTTTTGCACATTCTGACCTGAACTATTATTGCACAGATGAGTGAGCAAAGTAAAGTGACGGTGCGTGTCAGGCTAAAGCCATAACCATGTTGCCATAGCTCTGAATTAAAAGTGTGTTTTGCCATTGTGTATTTCAACAAATCACATTTTTGAATAAACTTTATCAATCTACGGAGGTCTAACCATGACATATAGTTGTGGATGAAAGTTTACATACCCAGCCAGAGATGTCATTTTTTTGGTAATCTTTTGGATATTATGAATGATGACACACAACTTTTTTCACTCATTGTTAGTGTTTTTATTTTGTTTTTTAGAAAATGCATTATGTGGTTTTGTTGAAGTGAACCGTTGTGTTTTCTTCTTGTCAGACAAATGGCGCAAAAAGCGTTGAAGACTTCCCGTCGGAACATGCCAAGTAATGAAGTCATTACTTTTTGCTCCAGTTTTCATCACACAACTACCACACAAGACTCGGGGCTGTCATAGATGATAATAGGGCAATAAACACTATTGGGAACTGGGGCAATGAGAGGCAAAAAGACTAATTTCTGTTGTCATAATTGTCTTAATCATTAGAAAATAGACACATTTATTTGACGATAAACTGCTTCACCACTAAGTGAAAAAGATGCGATATCGTTCATAATATCTGAAATATGTCAACAACCACGGCTACAAAAACTGCCTGGGTGAGTAAACTATCAAGCACAACTGTATATGCTTTCAGCCAGCCTGAGGGATTGTGAGCTAAGACAGGAGCGACACCTCTGTTCCTCTGCCGCATGGATCGCTGTGGCTACGAGTAACTTATCTCATTGACTTGTGTGTGACAGAAGTGAAAGAGTATCACGAGAGATTTCAGGGAGGTGCTGAGGACAATGACTATTTTTTAAGTTTTCAAATACTGCACAATGCTCAGTCTCTTACTTACTTTTTCCGGACAAAGTGAGTGATCTCAGCTTGAATTTTCAGATACTCCTGGACCATCCTCTGGTGCTGCTCATAGATGGCCATAGACTCTTTGGAGTTTGGACAAGGGGTCAGAGGCTGAGGGAGGGAATGAGGACAATGTATTGATCAAATTGTATTTCCAAAATGATAGAATTGCACGTTTACCTGCAACTGAATATCTAGCTTCAGATGGGCCATGGCGGTGTCCAAACCATTTGTAGCTGACACAAAGAGAACATACAGTATACCATTCACTTCACATATCAATACAGTAAGCATGCGTAACAGTTACACAAGCGGTGGTTGGCTGCACAGCTCTGCCCTCTAGTGGTCTTAACTGAACAGTGCAGACAGAGCTATGCTGGACCAGAATGATCAATGATGATGTTCTTTCAATCAATCAATCATCACCTTAAAAGATTTTTTTTTTTGATACAGCAAACATGGTTTTCCAAGGATTAGAATATTTGAGAGTTAAATTACATATATATAGATGAAGAAGTTAAGCCAATAACCTAATAAGAGCAGAGATCCTCAATTGGTTGCTATGTTCAAATGAAATGTGATATGCGTTACAAAAAAATGTGCCTAGAATTTGCGTTCCTGGAGTCACATTGAAGTGACTTAAGTGCAGTAATATCCTTTCATATGCCATTTGGTGACAGCTTTCATTCTTTTTAAATCACATGATGATTTTTGTACTGTCTTGACACACTTGTTATTCTTATTTGCAAAATATTAAAACTAGCAAAAGAATTATCCATCTCCCTCTTCTGGTTTGCCTTTAAAACATATGAAAAAACACTGGCTCTGTGTCTCAATCTTGACATGGGAGGAAAACTGGGTCCCGTATCCAATTGAAATGCACTCATCCATTGAACAGTCCATTAAAAAGGTGCAATTTGCATGTTTATGGCCCCCCTGAGGTGTTGCCTACCTGGGGGGCTGATGGACATGCGGATCTCTGATTGGCTGGAGGTGGCTGCAGGGCTGCTGCAGTGGGTGGGGCTTTGGGAGCGCTGACTGTCCACGCTGGAGACGCGAGACAGGCTGGTGCGAATGGTCGTGGCCTGGTGGAAACGGGGCAAGACGAGAAGGACGGAATTAGACTATGCTAACTATGTGAAATATAGTTTAAAAATCTATTTGTACAAGGTTTCAGTGAGCTGGAAATACCAATTTTAACTTGAGTAGTAATGAAGACTGGGATTGCAGAATTTTTCTAACTTCCTTTAAAAAGACAATACAAATGTTTTTTGTCAATCAACATTCTATCAATAAATCATTGTATTGTTTATTTGGTTGGGACAGTACATGTTCAGGAACACATCACTCCGGATTGTAGCGTTGAGCTAATTTCCATCCGTTGTCACACATTCGCAGACAAACACAAACTCATTCACCCACCCTGAACTATTGCACATGTTTTTAGTGGTAGGGGAAACCGGAGTACCCGGAGGAAACCTACGCAGACATGGGGAGAACATGCAAACTCTACTCAGAAAGGCCCTGTTCCGACCGGGATTCGAACCCAGAACCTTCTTGCTGAGAGGCGAGAGTGCTATCCACTCAGCCATCGTGCCGCCCAAAGATTGTCATCAGCTTAAAAGATTGTTATTTTTTGATACGCCACAAGTATTACTGTATTTGACAGTTCATAATGTATATAAAGTGTATAATACACGCGTTTTTGTCAATTACAAAGATTTCCCTCTCTACAACAAACAAATTGGTCAATACAGGCTGTATTATTATTATCATTGCTATTGATTAATTATTACTTTTGTAACTAAAACTAAAAGCTCAATGTGTTATAATGTCATATTTTATCGTTGTTCTTTACCTTTGAGGGCCAGAACTGTAGTGGGAATTTGTTTTCAAAGCTTTTCAGAGTCTCCTCTCGGCCTCCTGATGTCCTGTAGTCCCCGGTGTCGTCGCTTCTGTTGCTGCTGATGGTGCAGTCGGCGTAAGAACCTACAAAACATGTACTTTCACTTAACATGCATTACAACACATCAGTCTACATCTGGTGTCCACATGTAGACTGACCTAAGCAGGCCAAGTGTAACCTATATGGGTATACATCGTTACGCAGGCGTTGGCCTCAATAATAATAATAATGGGTAGAGTGGCGGCACCTGTGCTTGTGGCTGATGAAGAGCCACTTCTGTTTCCAGATGAATGATGCGGGAGCTTGAGAGGTTCTTCAGAGCCGGGGAAATACTGCAGGTCAAAGTACAGCAATTATCAGTACAATGCTTTATTGTTGCCGTTAGAGTCATTCATTCATCACTTTAACATAACTGTGAATATAATACTAATGGATTTCAAACAATTATTGTTTTTACAAACACAACACCACTGGATTCTAAAATGGACAAACCATTGGGTTTGAATACACTTTTTTATTTATTTGCTTTTATATTTGATGATGAAAGCAGAGGTTTGTTTAACATACAGACAAGACAAGGGCAACAAAGGCAATTGATTCTAAATCGATTGATTCAAATCAAAGCTGCGACATGTAAAACTTTCAACATACAATGTGAAACTAATATGTGACAATAAGGCGAGAGATCAGATCAAGCTTATTTGTTGTGATGTTGATAATTGGCTTCATATTGTTGAATTACAGAAATAAATTCACTTTTGGACAATTGTTTGGACAATAACTTTCTGTGTCACACCTGTATATCTGTATAAAACCCATATTTAAAAACAGTTTTAAATGAACAGTGTTCCAGGATGTACCTTCATGAGGCTGCTCATGGTGCTGCGGACCTCCTCCATGGAGGGTCTGAGGCTCGGCTCTTTGTCCCAGCAGCGGGTCATCAGAGACTCAATGGGCTCTGGCAGGTCCTTTATGAGAGGAGGCCGAGTGCCTGAGCAGGGTCCACATGGGAAGACATGTTTTATGTCCACTACAGAACTTTCTCATAAAGACTCCGACACTTATATAGAAACAGAGATACCTGGGATTATCCAAATTATGACAATAGGCATATTTATAAGAGAACAGGCAGATTACAGGTTACATCTGTGGGTGTTTTCTTTTATGTTTTGTGGGCATTTATTTAATACCAATTATATAGTTGTGCTTAAACATCCAGGCAGAAATGTTGTGGGTTTTTTTGTCATATCACGGAAAATGATGAACAATAACGGAAACACTTTTTCACTTATGTTAGTGGTTGTGTCGAGTGACAAATAATTGTCAGGTGGAACATGTTTTAGTCATTTACGCTGCAAAAGCATCACTTTCCACTGTTTGAGAAGCACGTTTGGCATTTTGAATTTATACTGACAACAGAAATGACTCCTCTCACCCTGATTAAAAGTTTCCATTCTCCAGGTCTACATTTATTGGACAATATTTGGCTTCATAAAATCACAATGTTGCGTGTTACTAATCATAATCTCCAGAAAACTGCCCAAACAATGACATTTGTGAACGAGAATAGTCATGTGGTCAGTTCTCGCTGCTGCCATATTTGAAATTGTAATAATGTAGTCTTACAGATAACATTTAATTTACAGTTTGTCATCTCATTTGTAGTTCCACTTCCTTAAACTTCATGGAAACTGTAGTATGTGGCTTGTGCTGGAAACCACTTCCTCTGTTTTATTACTGTATATAGCCTTGACTAGACATGACAACACTCCATTGTATATACATTAGGTGTTATTCTAAGTTACTATGAGCAAACATACTTGAGGTGTTTGATGTATCTGTATAACATATAATAAATGTTTTCCTCATCAATATTCATGACAGAACACACAATACTCCAAGAAAGACAAAGCCTTCAGGTAAAAAAAAAAGTTTCCATTCAAACAATTTAGGATGCAAATGATTGATGTAGTGTGTGACTCACTGTTGGAGCCAATGAAACATCACTGACCTCTGTGAACTGCCCACATGATGCAAAAGGCAGACCCTCCGACCTCATCGAAGGGTTTCTTTCTGGAGAGAGCTTCCCACAGAATGATGCCCCAGCTGAACACGTCACACTTCTCACTGTAGTTACTGCCTGAAGAGAGAAAACAGCACGACGACAGTGAAAATAACTGCCATTTCCACTCTCTGTCTCGTTATTATTAATCCCATCATTGTATATTCCATGCTGTAATAAGTTTTTTTTCATTTCAATTTCACAGAATTCCCTGGCGTTAATTTACAACTATTGTATTTTGTTGTATTTTAGAAAATGTACCTTCAAAAACCTCTGGCGCCATCCAAGCTGCACTGCCTTTATTGTTGGTCATGTAAGTCTGAATGTCGCAGGCCGTCCCAAAATCACAAATCTTCAAGACTGTTCCACGAGACACAAGCAGGAGACTGCAACAGAACGTGTCAGATTAATCCAAAGCAGAGCAACGACATAAGTTCTCTAAATGTAAAGCATAATGATATTGTTCAACTAAACAAAACAGATACATTTTTATTCATATCACGTGTTTTATGAAAAAGCTCATTCCAATGCATTGTCGAGTGTGTGAGCGAGATTGAAAACCCGGTTGTATCACGATCATACTTAAGTACAGTCTTACTTGAGTGGCTTGAGGTCCCGGTGGATCAGAGCTTTGGGCTTCATGGCGTGCAGATAGGCCACGCCCTCAGCGCACTGCAGGCACCAGCTCATGGCGTGGGCCGCGGTGTAGTGAGGCTGAGGGTCGGCACTGTGCAGAACTACAGCAAACAAAGAACAATGAGGATGTGCATATTTCGTCACATCTTTTAACTTTTGCCATTTTCTATAAGACTGTTTTTTTTTTTTTGGTTTCTTTAGAGCTAGAACTTCCAGAGCAGTCATTGTGATGGGTAATTATTCAGCGTATGTACATGTTTGATCTGCATAACTATGTAACTTATGTGGTTTGTATTATGTGCATTATTTTTTAGGAATTTATATGAAATGTATTTACGTCTACCTTTCACTAAAATTCCAGATGCTTGGTAACAAACTTTCAATGGCAGTTATAGCCCTTTTTACAAGATGCTGGTTGTGCACTGGTTCTGAGCCGAGTCAGCTTGGTTTTCCACAAGCGACCATAGTTACCATAGCAACACACGGTTTACTGACCAACACCGAGCATTTAGTCGCCTTTCAACAAACTGTTTTGCCGTTGTATTCATCAGTTATGGAGCTTTCGCGAAAGTTCACCGTGGTAGACCCGGCTGTTGCTGCCAGGCCACAGGCTGCTATTCCTCGACTCATCAATACCAGCAACGCCCACACCCAGTCAACCAATAACCACCAGGACAGCAAGTTAAAAGCCGGAGACGCCCACTTCCCGATCTTCTGAAGTCTGCAAACTTCTGAAGCCTGCAAGGTGCATGTCGCTAACGCTCCTGTTCGCAAATGCATGCGTTGTTCTGGAGGGGTCGCTTCTGCTCACGTGTTGCTCGTGCGCGTGGCCCGGCTGTCCTCAGTCTGGCTGCTCGTGGTCTGCTCCTCCTCCGCGTCCCTGCACCTGCTGTGGTTCGCATATCCCCACTGCTCTCCTCCTCTGCGGGCTCTTCTGCGGGCAGCTCCGCGGGGCCCCTCCGCGGTTTCTGTGTTGCTCGTTCCTCGTGGTCTGCTGCCGCGCGCAGACGGTCTGGCGGTGCTGTGCGTGTCCCTGCCTCCGACTGGCGGTGCCGCGTTGTCCCGTTGCTTTTCCCAAGTCTCCTGGCATGTGAGTACAGTGAGTGTGCCGACCGCGGACAGTTTAATCCCGGAGTCTAGGCTGCAGGCGGCTGGTTTTTGCCCTACGCACTTGACTGCAGGCGTCAGTCTTCGCCCGTGCTTGGTCTGCAGGCTCCGTTTTACACGTGTTGAGCTAACTGAGGGTCAATGCATCTTAAATGGCATCAATCTCCAATGTCTGAGGGATATAAGAGGAGCAATGTGCATTAATTCAGATTCATGTTCTGCCACTTGCAGTAAAACCACGTTGGAAAAAATGTGCAAAGACTACCCCATCGTGCTCCAGACGGCACACACAGAGCTCTTGCACGGCGCCATCTTTACAGCATCAATCTCATTACTCGCAAGTCACTATTGTTAAATGATGTATTTAAATTCGTCTATCTGCAGGAGGAAGGAGGGGCCATGCATTTAAATAGCTAGGTCACTAGTATTAAACTGGGTAACTAAACTGCAGTTGTTGCATTTCGAAAGTGCAGCAGAAAGAAAAGGGGCCCAATGTGAATATGCAATGGGTTTGAAGTGGAGCTGTAGCTATGAACGCATGGATCAGTGATCGTTCATGCGTATCTGCCATAACCAAAGCAGCAAGATGGCTCCAGGGGACATCTGTTTCTCGCATGGGAATGTTTCGGATTCGGGTTGATTTATTTCCTCAGGCTCTTAAACAACCGTGGGCATGGTTCTCTGACCGCCGCTGCTGCGGTCCCTGCTGCCGTTCCTACTGATGCCTGATCCCGCTGCTGCCTATTCCTGCTGCTGCCTGTCCCTGCTGCCTGCTCCTGCTGCTCCTACTACTACATGTGCCGCTGCTGCTGTTCCTGCCGCTGCCGCTCCGCAGGCTCCCAGGCTGCACCTATCTCTACGGCTCGGCTCTTCAGACACGTACGTAACCTGGCTCACGGAGACAAGCGGCGCACGCTGGCGTGACACGTCTGTTGTTCGTATGAATTGCATTGTGCTGCTGCTGCTTGCTGCTTCTGCTGCCGCTACTGCTGCTATTGCTGCCGCTGCTGCTTCATACTGCATCTGCTGCCGTGCTGCTGCTGCTTCTTTACTTTGACACCTCTCTTCACTGCGCATCTCTTTTACTGAAACACTAAACAGCTTCAACTATATTCTACTGCGGTGGCTTGATACAGGATTATTGCTGTTATTATCTACGGATGCTGCAACCGCTGCTGCTGCTGCTGCTTCATGCTGCTACCGTTACTGCTGCCGCTGCTGCTTCATACTGCATCTGCTGCCGTGCTGCTGCTGCTTCATGTACTTGACATCTCTCTTCACTTCGCATCTCTTTTACTGAAACACTAAACAGCTACAACAATATTCTACTGCTCTGGCTTTGATACAGGATTATGGCTGTTATTATCTACGGATGCTGCAACCGCTGCTGCTTCATACTGCTACTGCTGCTACTGCTAATGCTGCTTCTGCTGCTTCATACTGCTACCGTTACTGCTGCTGCTACTGCTGCGCTGCTGCTGCTGCTTCATGTACTTTGACATCCCTCTTCACTTCGCATCTCTTTTACTGAAACACTAAACGGCTACAACAATATTCTACTGCTCTGGCTTTGATACAGGATTATTGCTGCTATTATCGACGGATGCTGCAGCTGCTGCTGCTTCACACTGCTACTGCTGCTGCTGCTTCATACTGCTACTGCTGCTGCTTCATACGGCTACTGCTGCTACTACTGCTGCTGCTGCTTCATTTACTTTGCCATCTCTCTTCACTTCGCATCTCTTTTACTGAAACCCTGAACAGCTACAACAACATTCTACTGCTGTGGCTTTGATACAGAATTATTACTGTTATTTTCTAAGGACGCTGCTACTGCTGCTGCCGCGGCTTGATACAGGACTTTGCTGTTATTATCTGAGGCTACTGCTGCTGCCGCTGCTGCTACTGCTACTGCAACCCATTCTCTCAGAAGCTTATCCTGCTTCTAATGGATGCAGCCCGGCTGAGTATGCCGCGCTGCGCCGGACTCGCACCTATGCTCCCAGGGTCGCTTCGGCGGTCGTGCTTCATCTCTCTACTGAATCTTCTGATTCTATCAGATGCAGCTGGCCAAGTAGCTGCGCTGAGCCGTCAATCGGACTCCTAATCAAAGGCATCCATACCTGGTTCTTCACTCTTCTGATCACAGGCTCCCCATCATGCTGCCCATCCTGCAGCGGCGCTGAACTCCGGCTCATCTTCCAAGTACATGTCTGCCCTCCTCGCAGCATCTTCTGCTCGCCTTCTGTGGCTTCTCTGCATAAGCGTTTCACCACTGCTCACTCAACCTTCAATGCGGTCCGAGACACGGCTTCCCGTCCTATCCTACTGGCCTAATTATCTACTCTCCAACCCAAGATTCTAAGCGTAAAGGCGCCTGCAACATCAATGGCCCTCTCCGGTGTGTCTCTCTGCCCCTACAGGTCTCCGCTTCTACACGGACGCTGCCCCTTCCGTGGGTTTTTGGGGGATTCTTCCAGGACCAGTGGTTCGCCGGCCGTGGCCCGCTACTTTCCCCGGAGCATTTCCTCTGCCCTACACGAGACATTCCCAGTGGTCGTGGCCTGCGCGCTGCGGAATCACACGTGGCAGAGAAAGAGGATCTCTGTCATGCGTGATCATCTCGACGTAGTGGAAGCATTAAACAAAGGTCGCTCTTCTCACCCAACATAATGTCCCCTGACCATTCAACCTTCATCTCAAACATTCAAAGATCAGAGGCGCCTGCAACACAATAATAGCTCGCTTCGACACATCTCTCTGCCCCTACAGGTCCATGATGCGTTACACTCGCCTCCGCGGCAAAAAGGAGATTTTAACGGACCTCTAATTCTCACTCCAGTCAACCTTCCCATAACAGCAACCTGGTTCAGAGCTCAGCTAAGATCCCTACTGCTCCTCTGCAATTTGTCTCCCCAGCTCTATACAGCCCACTCCTTCAGGATAGGCGCTGCCACGCGCGCGACCTCGCTGGGGCTCCCCCACTCTTCCTCTGCAACGGCTGGGGCGCTGGTCCTCTTCGGCTTCTCCACCTACATCAGGCCAGATGCGACCGCTATCATGGCAGCACAACGTCTACCGGCTTCCTCGTAAGCTCCCAGCAAAGCAAGTAAGCAATAAGATTCTGGTGGCGGCACGCACTTTCCTCAAACGCTCAAAGATTCCTTGCTTCAGCGTCTGGCTGAATATGAGCGTGCGCTCATATTCTCAGTTCGCTCAAAGATTCCTCTGCTGCGGCTGGCTGAACATGCGCGTGCGCGCATGTTCTCAGTTCGCTCAAAGATTCCTCTGCTGCGGCTGGCTGAGCATGCGCGTGCGCGCATGCTCTCAGTTCGCTCAAAGATTCCTCTGCTGCGGCTGGCTGAACATGCGCGTGCGCGCATGTTCTCAGTTCGCTCAAAGATTCCTCTGCTGCGGCTGGCTGAGCATGCGCGTGCGCGCATGCTCTCAGTTCGCTCAAAGATTCCTCTGCTGCGGCTGGCTGAACATGCGCGTGCGCGCATGTTCTCAGTTCGCTCAAAGATTCCTCTGCTACAGCGGCTGGCTGAACATGCGCATGTTCTCAGCTCGCTCATGCTCTCAGGCCCGCGCAGTACGTCCTGCTATCCCAATCGCAAGCCCGCTTTTTGGGGATCATGCACGCGAGCAAGCGCCGTGCTCAACAGCATCCCGCCCGGGCCTAGGGCGCCAAACATGCTCAATCAATAAACATGCTTAAATCTAATAAGTCTAATGCGTTTTCCTCATGGGTCTCTCCAAGGTGAAATGGAGCTTTCGCGAAAGTTCACCGTGGTAGACCCGGCTGTTGCTGCCAGGCCACAGGCTGCTATTCCTCGACTCATCAATACCAGCAACGCCCACACCCAGTCAACCAATAACCACCAGGACAGCAAGTTAAAAGCCGGAGACGCCCACTTCCCGATCTTCTGAAGTCTGCAAGCCGCCGCCGCCCCACCTCCTCCTTCTCGCATGAAGCGTGTTGCCTACTGCCTCTGCCGTCACCAGTGCCTAGGCCCCGGGGGGATCATGCACGCGAGCAAGCGCCGTGCTCAACAGCATCCCGCCCGGGCCTAGGGCGCCAAACATGCTCAATCAATAAACATGCTTAAATCTAATAAGTTTAATGCGTTTTCCTCATGGGTCTCTCCAAGGTGAATTAGCACTTGGTAAAAGTGAGTTAATATCTTTTTAAACGTATATACTTACTTTTAATACACCTGGTGGAAAACTCAAGTCAATGGAATTTCTTGAGTCAATAAAGTATCTATCTATCTATCTCAGAATTCTATTGACTTGAATGGGAGCAGTCAAAAGCTCTGGTGTTTATTCCAACCAGCATGTTGTATTATGCATTTTGTATCCAGGGAACAACACGTCACAGGCCTTGTCTGTGAATGCAACAATGGTTTGATGGAGACAGAATACACCACTACTTCTGGAGTGAATGCAAAAGGAAAGACTGGCACAACATTTCAGAATCATAGACATCAAAAAAGTCTACAAACATTGATCGTTTAGAATCCAGAGAAACAGATCCAAAAGCATTGCTAATATTTTCAGATGACAATACTTCCTTTAGATGCTCTTGTTGCATATTATGAAACTCTGGATATTTCCCTGTTTAGAGCGCTAAAACAGGCTTAGAAATACAAGGATCACAGCATGTCAGAAATAGGCTAGTAAGAGATTAAATGAGGAAGTATTTCACTTAATTTGAGTGCATTTTGACTGTTTTATCTCTTAATGGAAAATACAATTCCGGTCCTGAGTTTTATGTTTCTACAAAGACTGTTGATCCAAAATTTGGTTTTCATATTTAAACATGCACTTACGATTGTGTAAAGAGCCACATTCTGCATATTCCATCACCAGGCACACCTTGAAATAAATACATGCAAAAAAGATATAAATTGAACAAAGAAATTAAATAAACAAAGAAATATGCAAAAACATGTTAATTGTTGTGAACTTACAGGATTATTACAGGAGCCATAGAGCTTCACAATGTTGGGATGGTTTACCCTGGAAAGCTGTCGAAGCTGATATAAAACAAAAAAACACAGATAGAGTTACTACTTTACTTCATGCTGATGATATTTATACACAGACTTAAATAGACTTGTGGAGTATACCTCAACAAGAAAGGCGTTCTTCTCATTTTCACTCTCTATTGTTTTTATGGCGACGTCTTGGCCTTTCCACACAGCTTTGAAGACCACTCCAAACGTCCCCCTGCCGACAACCTGAGCCACACGGCAATAAAAGAGATTTATAATGGAAAACATACTTGAAATAAACAACAGATGGTTCTAATGGCAATTCACATTTAATACGAGAGCAGTATTGGAAACAGTTCATTACTTAGATCATTCTTGGCATGGGCAATAATTATGAACAGGCTGAAGCAAGATTGCTGGAATTGTTGAGCAGTCAAATGTACCAATCACTTTTTGTGTGTTTGTGGTGGGAGATGTGGCGATATTTAAGCTCATTCATGAAGCGCCTAGAATATAGCGTCTAGAATCTATGATACCAAATTTCACACTCTATTTGATACTAAAAATACTTCATAACAACTTTTGGAAATGCTCTTTTTGGACAATAAACTGTATTTATTAACTCAAAATAATAATACATTTAATGAGGCCAGAATGTTCTTTCAATATAGTTCTAGAAATGTAGCAACTGTACTGGCTAAAATTAGTATCCATAATAATTAATACTACTTATTGTATCTTTCTAATAAATCAAACCATGACGAAAATGGCTCTTAAACCACACACAATTTGTTTAGTACAGATTTATAGCTTAATATAACCAGCCCAGACAGTCTGTGTTGTGATTTATTATAGCACCATAATAACCCAGTGTCCCAGTTTGAAATGGGGGTCGAGTGGAAACAAGGCTTAGGGCTGGGCTGTCTCTGGGGTTCCCCAAAACAAAAAAAAATACATCACATTGTTTTCGAGAAGACAAGAACAGATTGAAGCACACTTGATATCATGGCTTAATAATAATAATAATAGAAATAAGAACTTGGCTGTGTGTTATAAGTTTACCGCTTCGACTTGGATGTCTTCATACTGAATATCCTCAAACAGACAGACAGCTGCTGCAGTCTCCACCATGGCAGCAGCAGCGGCAGCAGCTCCGCGGCTAGCTGCTCCACAAGCCCGCAGTGAAGCAGGGAAAAGCCGAGGCTCTTGTGGCGTGTGTCCGGGACAAAGGGACGCGGGCCGAGGGTGCTATGGTTCTGGGGCTAAACCATGGACTAAACTGCCACTTCTCATCTGTTGCTGTGAAATCAGGAAGTAGCAACCGGAGAGCTCCAGTGTCGTCTTTACGCACGGGTTACGTACGCAGAGTCCGCCGTGACGAGGCGCGAGACATTAGCATAACAACTTTACAGTCTATGCTCTTTACCTCCATAGTTAAATAAATAGTTAAATAAGAGAGAAAAAACTATTATTTTCAGTTTACATGTTGCTTTGATTTGTGTGGCCGCATAAGGGTAATATTTAGTCTATGGCGACGACACGACCCAAACATGTGAAGATAAAGCCATGGATCTATAATAATAACTTGTTACTCGTGTAATGTTGAACAAATCAAATCACAACTTCCTTCATCGTATTAGAAAACATTGTAATTTTGTGTTACTATTTGTAAGAAAGAAGCCCATTAGTCACTATTTCACGCTTTGGGATGAGTGAGGGTGGTCCTCTCTATTTCCTTTTTCTGTCAGGAAAAATAATCTAAATCTCAATATGTGACAGAGGATATAACGGCTTTAGGAGCAGGGAACAGGTTATATTGTTGGATTTCTTGTGGCTTGAAATTTAGGTACCCAGCTTTAACACTAAAGATTTTCCAAAATTGTAGGATAGAACTGCCCTCTCCCTCTCCTAACCCTCTTGAACAAAAGTCTCTGGTCTTATTTAATGAGCACATATCACCAGAATGTGATATGGGACAGTTGGGAGGACCAATAGTCTTGATGGTCCACCCAGAAGTAGAAAATCCTCCTATATACCTTTAACCAGTAATTCAGTCATTTTAATTGAGTGTGTACACTGGATTTTGTTCCAGATTTCCTGGAGGTGTCGACAAGACAAGATAAAAGCAAGGCTGAATAACTTACTTACTAACTAAAAACAAAACAACTAGATTGCACAATAACACTTAGTTTGACTCAACCGCCTGTTCCTAATTCATGATACTCTCTCCTCAGTCCTCATAAATGATGCTACAAATAAAGTGTATCATGAAAAGGTGGCACACTGCAAAGACGTACAGACCTAAATGCTTATTGATAATTCTATGTTTCTTTATTTTCAGACTGTTTTGTCAACTAAAAACATTGAATTCAGACAGTAGTTCAAAATAAATATACACATAAGACATCACTACATAATGTTACAGTAACAGCAGCATTGGCTCCAGTGGTCCATAGAAGTCCATCATTTTAATGAAGTTGTGTCGAGTGTCTGTAAAGTGCATGTTACTCCTTCAGTTTGAAGATGGGTCTCTCTCGGCTCGTCTCAAACTGGTTTAGTTTTCGTTGTTTCCTGCGATTCATGTTGGACATGTCTTTATCAAACACCTCTCCGGATCTCAGGGCAGACACCAGGTCGTCAAAATCTCCGCTCCTGTGACCATCTTCGTTAGCTTTGGATTTCTTCTCTCGTTCCTTTTTCAGCTGAAATGCAAAACAGTGTAATTATAATGTATATTATAATGCATAAATGCATATTTATCAACCCATCACTACATGTAATAACTTATAGCTTCCATGTTTGTAACAAGACTGATACATTTATCAGTCCGTTAATCCATCAGTCTGGCAAAGCTATCATTCACATTCAATAAGTTAGTAATTACTTGGGACAAATTGTTCGACTTGTTATGTAAATGTTATATAAAGTTGAAGAAGGGAAGTGATATAAAAAGATGGATTTGAGAGGCACATGTTTTAAAGTTTAAGGCCATTCTATATGATCCAAGCATCTTCATAGAAACAAGCACACCATCCATACAAGTTGTATCGTGTGGATACATTAGTTTAAATTACACCTTTATAAAAAAAAAAAGTACTTATAGAATAGTTTATCAAGTATTTGTGTTACCGTTGCCTCCATCAGAGCACGTCTCTCCTCCTCCTCTTTGCGTTTGATCATATTCTCGTTGTCTTGTTTGGCGTCTGAGAACGATGTAATGAAAGTGTCAAATATTCCAAAAAACTCATTGGGCTGCATGGTCGATGTGTCTTCTCCAAAGTGCTTTAGTGCCTTGGCAAACTGAAAGACAACAATATTTTCCTTGTTTATATCCGATCATAGCAGTGAGCAACTTCCTCTACGATGACAGTAAAGTCATCCTTAACCTTCAGTATAATTCAAACTATGTGCATTGCTGTTTGGGTATTTACTCATTTGTTTTATTAATGAGAGTATTTTCTCACCAGTTCTTTGGCCTCGTTGAGCGATTCCTCCACCTCAGAGAAGCTGAACGTCGCCACTGTAATAAATTGGCTGACCACTGGGATGAATCTATCCACCGAGCCCTGGGAGGACTGAGCCTGCTGGTGCTGGAGCTCCTGAAAGAGTAAGAAATACACACCTTTATAACAACTAATGATGCCACATAGACCTTTATAATGGTTTTCTTTTGTGTGGGAGTTTCATACCGATTCGATAAGCTTCAGACCAGATCTTAGACTCCCAATCTCTTTCTCCAACTCTACCATACTAGAGGGTTAAAGACAATTTGTTTAATGATATATACAAATGCGGAACATGATCAGAAAAGGTCTATTTGAGATAAAACTGGAAACTAGAAATGTATGAATGTGGACAATGCAAAAGGTTACGTTCAGTGGGACAGTGCCCACATCATGCAGAGATTGCATCTCACTCTGGCCACCAGGATGTGGAACATGCTGGAATCTGACTGTGTCTCTGTGTCTCTAGTGAAACTTTGGGGGAATTCAAGGAGCACCTCAGGGTGAGGCTCAGGGATGAACTATTTGAAAACTAGACTCTGGGTGGGAGGGAGCATTTAATTCCAACGGGTCATGTGACCATGGAAATGTAATGGGTTTCTTTTCAATTCAATTTTTAAAAGGTTTTCTTGTTAAATGATTTGTACATCTATTAAAGATTTTTTTTTTTGTAGATAGAAGTGTGCAGTTGGGGGGAAGGGGCCATTACAACAAGAAGTTATTTTTGAGAGAAATGTTGTAAACGAAAACACCCAAATGTTTTCCCAGATCATAATTTAATTTTTTTTTAAATTATCATTTTAATTTACCTTTATAAGGAAATAATTGGACCAAGTTGATTTGTACCGACAAAGTTTTTGTTTCATGTAAATTGGTACAGGAATTATCTATAATCTTTTAATTTGTCCTTCTAAAATTGTATTCGGAATGTTGTGATGTAACTTGGACATAACCTATTTGGGTATGAAGCATTCCTACATTTATTTCATTATCAGGAATTTCCCATAAGTCTATCTTTCCATTTACCTAAATTGATTTAATTTAACCAGGGTTGTCTTAGTGAGATTTAAAACTTGTTGTCAGTGTACTTATGTAGAATTCTTGTAATGTTTTTGGAAATTGCTGCATATCATTGACCACAATAATACAGCCTGTTAAACCTACACCCATATAAAAAGCCATATAAAAAGTTGAAGCGTCAAAAACTTACTTGACTTTAGCAGCTTCTGGAACATTTTTTAGATCCTCGCTGAACCTCATCACTTTGGGGTATTTCATTTCCAACACTGTGATCAGGTAATGAAGAAGAGTGATGCTCCTACAATACAATCATGACATTAACATTTGGCAACAACCTCAAACAAAGCACCAACAGAGCCGTGTTCACCGGTCAATGCTGGACTTGGTGTCTGCGATCTTATTCAGACTGTTGATCTTGAATCCATACGCGTTTCCTCGCTGTCCTTTGTTCATGTAGTTTCCAAAAGCCAGGATGATTTCTAACAAATGACGCATCGAACCGCAATTTCTCACCTCTCGAGACGCAAGACTCAGCGCTGCGATGAAGGAAACAAGAGGCCAGTCGCACACATTAACAAAATAGAAACGGCAAATACTAAAATCAATGATCATCTATATCAGAAAACCATATGCAGTTATTACCTTTGATTCTGGGCTTGACCTCCTCTAGTCTTTCTGTGAATTTCTTCTTAAAGTATAGAGATTGTAGCCTCTGCTGGTAGTGATTTATCCTGAACAGATTAGATTAAAGTAGATTAGATTCAACTTTATTGTCATTACAAAGTCAGAACAATGTAATGTATGGCAGTTTAGCAGCTAACCAGTGCAATAGCGCAAGTATAGGATAATATTGACAACACAGATACATTTATGTGCAAATGTGTGAGACTGTACAAAGTTGCTAGTATATACATTCATTGTAAAGAGAGAGAAAGAACAAGGAGTTTGGAAGCTTGTTTAAAAAAGTGTGCCGTAAAAATAGTGTTGGATAAGATAATTATTTCACATCTGTTTTTACCACAATGAAAGAGACATGTTTAAATCAAATATCGTACTTTTTCCTCTATCCATCATTTTTTTAATTACCTTCAGGTAAATTAAACAGTTTTTTTATTTTTTATTCAAAGGTCATGTACTAATTTAGAACTTTCCAATTCCAGCTCGAGTTGTTTCAAATGTGCAGATTGCGTTTACCTGCTCATGTCGTACAGGAAGCGGTCTGCTCTGGCCATTCGCTCCAGCTCGTTCTTATGCTCCTCCAAAAGCTCAATATCGCTCTTTTCTGGGACAAACTTAAGGAGCTGCATGAAAAAGAAAATATTTGTTTAGGTTAAATAATAGTACTTCTGATTTACATTTCAACTGCTGTTATTGACTTCATATCTATTTTCTTTGTATAACTTGTCTGCGAGTTTGTGTTACATACAATTTTAGTTAGTTAGTTATTTTTGATTCATTTCAAACCTGCAGAACACAATTTCACATATATTCACACTAATACAGGTTTGAAAAGGGGTTGGATGAAGCAGACACTGATTTTTTCCCAATCCCCTCTCACAATACAACACAACAATACACACAGTACAATGCAACTAATCAACATACAGAATACAGATATGATATTGTGCGGTACATACAGTAATATATAATAGAAATACACAAAACATGCACACACACCACCGGAACAAACCGTCTGCTGACCCTACAATGGCAATAACAAAAATTATTAGTCCGATTCTACATGATGTTCTCGATAGTATTTTACTATGAAGCTATACAGTTGAAACTGAATAACAATTATTCACAAATGAAAGATTATAAAGGGTGTGACAGATGTAAAATGATTATATTACCTGCTCCAGCATGTCTTTGGGCAAGTCCTCCTGCTCGTCCATGGTCAGAATGGCATGTCGAATCTCCTCATTGGTCAACTTCAGTCTGTAGAGGAAACATTGCATTATAATAATTGACCAAACTGTTAAAAATCAGAGTAAACAATTTGCCTTTCCAGAGACTTTTCACTAACCTTGAAAGCAAAATGTTGCAGTTTTGAGCTCGCCGACCATCAATAACTGACAGCTCCTTCACCTTCTTCACTGCATGCTCGTCCTCTGTGTCTTTCTGTGGACAATAGATTAGACATGGGCCTCAAAAGAAAGATAATTTAAGAACATGTTCCGTTTTTGTTTGTGTGCTGTACCGCTGGTCTCTGATAGGCTGAGAATGTTTTCTGGAAGTCATCCAGATCCAGAGTTTTGAACACTTTGAGGTCGTCTATGTCCTCCCAAACAGTGCCGTTAATCTTGTTCTGAAAAAGTCAATATTACAGTTTGTCTCTAGTCTATATTAGAATATTATTATGTTACAGCATAAGACACACTGTATGAAAGTGGAGAGCCATGTGCAGAAACCTGAGCTGAGATTTATGACATCTCAGTATTGTATAAAAATAGCTTCGTTAAAACAAGCCGTCTGCTTGGGTACACTGGGGTAGTCTTGCACAGTTTTTCCTATGTGGTTTTACTGCAAATGGCAAATAAATGAATCTGATCTGAATCTGCTGTTGCCTTTGAAAAGCTGTTTTGTGACAGTATATAATTGTAAATATAGGGTGTGCATGAAAATGATTGGCTCCCCTTAACATAGGTGCAAACTGATAAGATTCGCTTTGTGTCAATAGAAGAAAACCACTTAAAATATCCATACTATTTTACTTGGCACCCGCAGTTTAGCACCAAGACTGGGAAGGTTTCTCAAGACAGCATTCAACTGCTTCAATGAGCTGCTTTGACCATCCCCGCACCACAAGTGGGCAGTATAGAGTGGTGTGCAGTACTCTATTTGAATGGGACAGTGTGTATTAATGAACAAAAGTGCTTTAAATACACCAGATTCCCACTCACAAACACACACTCATTCACCCCGAAGTATGTGACACGTTTTAGTGGTCGGAAAACCAGTACACCCAGAGGAAAACTATGCAGACACAGGAAGAATATGCAAACTCCACACAGCAATAACATGTGGAATTTCCATGCAAACACATTACACACACACACACACACACACAAAAACAGTGGATATCAATATTGAAAACCGTAAACAAATCACCAATAATACTAATTCAAAGGTACATGATTGGAAAACCATTATAACATTGTTGATATGATTTCAGAGTGAATCCTGCAATATACAGTATGTTGACTTTAGGCCATTATGACATTTTGCACATTTTACCATATTCATTCATTCTTGCGTCAGTGTCTAATCTTTATACAAGCATGATGAGTGTCCTGTAAAGTGACCAACTATGTCGAACCATCAGTGAACAACTATGAATCAGAATATAACATAATAATCTTCTAATATATTTACACTCGTCACAAATATATGCAAAATGACTCGTAAAGTAGATCTGAATACCTCTGGCAGTTTGTTCCAGTTAAAGGACTTCATGGGGTTGGCAGGTTTGGGGACGTTCTTCACTTTGGCGGGTCCCATGAGTGCTCCTGGAGGTGGAGGGGGAGGTGGCGGGACAAATGGGAAAAGCCCGGATCCTGGACGTCCTGGGGGAGGAGGGGGAGGAGGAGGGAAAGGAACAAAGGGAGAGGAGCCAGACTGGACCGGACCGACAGGAGCAAGACCACTGGATGACAGAGGAGGTCCACCAGGGACATTTGAGCTCTGTGGATAAAGACAGGAATAGTAAAGATCAGATCTTGTTTCTGGACCGAATTGTAATTTAAGGAAGATTCTGTCTGTTACTACTACATTAAAATCATCCACAACAAAACCGATTCAGGAAATATGAAAAATAAAATTAAAAAAAGCAGAACAAAATCAGTTAAAAGTAAGTAGGGAGGGAGCGATGGAACCTCTATATGTTGTTAAATGACATTTATATACATAATTAAAATGTCATAAAAATTTATAATATTAGATTGAAATATATAACATCAAAATGCGACATATGGGCATCAACACTGCACACTACATGTATTTTTGATTAGGATAGTTTCATTTTCACATGTGACTCACTATTTGACTGGTCTAAAAACATTTTTGATCAATTACATTAAACTTCAGCTTGAATTAAGATTGTTATTTTGCTCCCATTAAAGTTCAAAAATTCTTGCTAGAAAAAAATGACAAAAATATGTCAGTCAGAACCCATATTCTCAAATGTTAGTCTTGGCCAATCAAGAAAATAAATACCAATTCCCACAAGCAGGTCAATGTAAATGATGTAAATATAAATAATAATTTATAATAATAAAATATATATGAATAAACTCCTCATTATGCATTTAAATATCTGAGGAACACATAGAGTCGTCAAAAGGCTGTGTATCATACGCACAGTGCTGAGTTGCTGCAGTCTGGCCGACAGCTCGCTCACTTGCTGCTTGGCCTGTCTGTGGTCGTTCGCCTCTCGCTCCAGTTTGTCTTTCATCTTGTTCAACATTTCCAACATGTCGTCCTTCTCTTTGTTCTTGGCCTCGCACTCGCGCTCTTTACGATCGAAGCGCTGCTGCAGGTTCTGATGCTCTGAGGGCAACATGATTACAAGGTGGTCTCACAAGAAAGATTCTTAATGTCATGAAAAAATCAGGCGACACCATGCTATATTTTGAATACTTGTAAGAAAGACCCCTGTGAGTCACAATTTGATGTTTTGGGTTGAGAGCTGATCGGTAGTCCTCTTTTTTTCTGTGTGACCGAGGCCAAAAATACATGTTCTACTGATAGAACTAGATGCATTTTATTACATAGCTCATAATTTTGGTTTTCTTATATTTTTGGTGTAGAAAAATGTGTAGCAGTGCATATGTTTATTAAAAAAATGTAGGAAAAATGTGAGCGATAAGGTGCTCTTAGAGGATCTGTGGGAATAATAATGTGGAGAATAAAGAGGAAAGGATCCGAGGCACTCTGAATTTCTTATAGGGACATGGCAACGCGTTTAACCTCTCTCGGGCGTCATCAGGGCAAGAAGGGTAATTTCAATATTTAAATGCCTTTGGCTTTTATTACAGCTGCTATATTGCCCTGGTGCCTGATCAGTTAAATACCTTTTCTCATTTTGTCTGCTTGTTCTTTCCATTGTTTGACTTCATCTTCTTTGACCAACCTGTGGACACAAACCATATAAATACAGTCGTTCATTGCGATTAAATTTCAGTTGGAGTCCTTACATGCGGACGATGTTTTTGACGTTGAAGTCTTCCAAAGGAGCGACATCTGGGTTTTCTCCTTTCTCGGTCTGGAGGACGATTTGTTGGATGATTCGGTCCAGTAAAACCCAGTACTGTCGAGAGGAGCTCTGTTTGACTGCCACAGCGACAACACGGTCATTTACAAGCATTTATATCATATTACTGCATCTTTTACTCTACTTTTACTCTACATGAGATCACAGTTAAATCAGTGATCTTCAAATTGACATTCTGGAAGAGGAATAAAACTAATGAAAACATACAAACAATAAAAGACTGTGGCTGTGAATGAAGAAATTTACCACTGAACTAAACTTAGGATAGGATTTAATTACGATACTGTAAATATTTCACACAGCATAAGTGATAATAGTGTAATAAGAAAAGGTCTTACAGGGCATCATGAGGCAGTGATGCAGCGCGGACAGAAAGTGAGGATACAGCTCTGTGTGGTTCAGTTTCTTCTTCAACAAGTCAAACATCCCACTGGCACTTTTGGTGTCTATGTGCACCTGAAAAACACACAATTATTATACCAAACAGATCAACTACTGAGCAAAACAATATCACGCTGAATATTATTAAACAGTCAAACAGGATTGTCCCCAAATAAACAGAAACAAGAGAGAAATTTGTACAGCTCTCTAAGGACACATTCCCAAACTTTAACTCTTTCACTTTAACTGGACCAAATCTGGTTCATTTGGGGCAAAATGTCTTGTTTGGGGATATATAAGGGCCAAACATGTGTGTCCACTTTTTTTTTCGTTAACACTACATTTTGTTTGCATGTAATAAAGAGCCCTGTGAGTCACTATTTGAGCTGATGGGCTAATTGAGGCTAGTCCTCTATTTTGGAAGGTTTCAATCTGAATATAATCTCAAGATGTGATAGAAGCCACAGATACATGAATGTGAAAACTAGTGATAGAATCTAGTGAATAGAAACCTTTTTAGAGCCAGGAACTAGAGATGTGGATGTTATTGCTTAGTTACATTTGTTGATTTGAAAGTTGTGTACCCCAGCTTTAAGTCAATTTGCATAATTTGAAACATTGGACTTGGTCCCATTATAGTGAACCCAACCAACAGATATGTGCGCACTCTAAATGACATACCAATTTAGACCCTTTGCATACACTAAACTAAAATATTCTTTACTTCACTTTTATGGGACTTACTGAATCAAAGCGTTTGCTAAGTTGGAGTTCATCTTCATTTCTGAGCATTTCAAAGTAGTCGAGATGCCTGAAAACCAGAGAGAGAAGAATGATTAGATTGGCTTCACACAGTCTTTGTGAACGACAGGACTTTTCGCGTACACGTCTAAAGTTTCGTTTTCGTGCAAGAGCAGTTTGTCGATCACCGGCTGAATCCCCAACATCAGAAATTCGTATCGCAGGTGGATCCGGAACTCCAAACTTGTCTGTTGAAATAAGGACATGGAATTAAATAAATACAAATATTCAGGCATCAAAGTAAAAGTGTCTTTGTATTGATGAACCTTCCAACCAATAATTGAATAGTAAAAAATAAGATATATGGACTGAAATATTCTTTTATGATTGTTGTGTTGGTTCTGTAGGTATGACTGACCTCTCCTGCTCCTTTCCCCAGCACAGCGTTGATAAAACTCATAATAGCCGTTTTTAAATTCACTTCGTCTCTGTAGCGGCCTGTGGATCTGTCCAGGTCGTACACCAGACTCTGGGAACAAAGACAGAAACATTACATTAGTGAAACCCAAACCCCTCATTCATCCATTTTTAGGATTGAAATGTTTTGACTAAGATTACAAATTCAACATGAAGTCCAGTAGTGCCCCCAGCCCCATCGCCTTTTTTAAACCTTCAAACATAATTTTAGTGGTAATGTAAACAACAGGGTTTGTCTGTCTCTTTATTTGCAACATACTGTAACTCAAATAGTTATGGACAGGTTTTTCGTCATTTTTGGGGAAGCTTTTCAATTGAAACAAGGAAGGTAATTTAAGAAATGGGACTGTACCTCTTGGCGGAGGTTTGTGCTCTACAAGTGCTTTTCCATAATATCCTTGTCTTTGCAATATCAGTATTCTTGAACTGGTGAATTTCCACCACTGGCTTTGCACATCATTCATAATGTTGAAAGTTGTCAATGTCACAAACGTTGACTTTTACCATTAAACTCATGATTAAGAATCCTCAAAATGGAGTCTGTCAGATGAAGCTGAAACTCACAGTGAACTTGTACCTGAAAACGTGTCCTCTCTGCAGCAAACGTCTGGTAGTGCGTCATGGCCTCCAGCACTTTCTTATGCCCCCCTGGCACCAAGCAGACGGCCCCCAGGATCTCTAACACTGCCACCTGAAAATAGACACAAAATGCTCCAAATTATTGAAAAAAATAAACATTTGTGCAAAGTGTAAAGTCATTAAGTTAAGTTTGGGAGTCATGACCATTAATAGAAATTCTGCACTAGCACTTGACACAATTCTAATACTGTGTTCAATGTCAGTGTTCAAATTATTGTTGTCTTTATTTTAAAATTAGTTATTATAAGGGTTATCATTATAAGGGTTTTATTTTGATTTAGTCCAATATTAAAATCACCACTTGCTTCTTTCATTTAATTATGACTGGCTTTATATGTTGAACAAAAAAACATTATGGGTTACACCTATGACCAGAGAAGCAGATAATCTGTAAACTTTTTTATGATATACATTTTAATACTGCCACTTAGGATCACTTTCTATTTATTTGATCTTTTTTAGACAATTGCAAAATAAGATATTGTATACAAACTATTATGAAATATAAACAGACTTCCTTGTAGATGTCTTTCTATTCTGAAGTGCCGCTACCTTAGTCTTGATGTTTTCCGTGGCCAGACTCTGGGAGATGATGTTGATGCTCTCGCAGTGTCCCAGGACGTGTGCGCGGCCCTGGCTGTTGTTCATCAGGGCGTTGATGCAGCCGATCAGAGACGTGTGGACGCTGGACTCTGACGTCTCATAGTCCATTGTCTTCAGGAAGTTCAGGAGACAAGACAAGCCGTCCAGCTCGATGAAGCGAGTCACAAACCTGCACATGCCAGATTCAGACAGTCATCACAAACATATTCCATAATATCCAGCGGTTTCTTTCCATTAGGAGACATGTGCTGCCAAAATTATCTATGTAAAAAAGTTATCCGTTAAAAACATTCATCTGTATTGGTTTTTTGGATTTTACTCTATGACTGATTTGTACAGTATCTATCGTCAAGCAAACTGTCAAACTGTGAAACGTCAACACAAAGTCGTATCCCATCTGATTACCGAAAAGAATTAAGACAAATGAAAGAACATCAAATACATAAACATTATAAATGGGAAACTGTATACACTGTGAAATAAGAAATCAATATTGCCAAAACAACAGTCAGTCTACGGTCTATCAGACAAGCTTTCCAGAAAAACAGCTTCACTTCACTTTGGATTTACCACAGACATTCTCGCATGGATTACAAAAGTAACTTTCCTGTGCCCAGAATATTCCATTTATTATAGTAAAGTTGTCAAATATAACTTTTCTTTTGTTTATTCTCCAGAGAATTCATAAACAAATTCAGTTTTAATTTATCCAATTTTAGACAAGCCAAGATCATAGGCCAGAATATTTCACATTTCATACATAATGATGTAGGAATAAAACAGGATTGTACCTCATCGGTTGCGTCCTTAGAGCAGTCTTCAGACCTTCAACAGTTTTATGCCGGCTGTTGTCATCATCTCCATCGAAAGCCACAAAGGTCCTCCTCTAAATGAAACAAATATGATTGTTTTTGAGGAGTATAGATGTATGGTATAATAGATGTCTGTGTATTGTTTGTAACTTACCGCGGCCATATTTAGATGGTCAATGTAGTGGTCAGGCCAACGGGTGGCGCCTTTGTCTTCATCTGCTTCCTGTAAAACATAAGATTTTCAAAGAAGGCCTTTTCAAATGTGTCAGTGCTAAACACACACTAATGTTTAAATATAAAAACAAAAATAATCCATAATGCAATATACTGTGACACGTGACTTTACTATATAATGCATCTGTATCTCTGAGACGTTTGCAGTGTTCTGGCTGGAATGGCAGTACTCTTTGAATACTTGTGGGGCAGCGATGTATCCTTGACAAGTATGATCATATGTGTGTTTGTGTGTGTGTGTGTGTGTGTGGTTTGGTCAATTGGTCTCCAGTTAGTTTATTACATTGTGGCATCTGTGGATATAGACTAGAAAATTGTAATGTGACTTCTGTAATTCTCATGGTATAATGTTTGGCTATCAGTTACTTCAGCCAGAGATGAAAGTCTCTTCTGCCTCAGCCCCAATGTGACTTGACGGTGGGATACAGATCCTCTAAGCATTCCCTTCATCATGCAACAATGCATCGATTATTGTTATGTTAGACTTTGCTCACCATCCTCTTACTACAGTAAATATGCCATTTCTTCTCTGCTGGTAGTGCAAACATGCATGCCCTGTGCTCCTCAGTGAGACCCAACTCGTCCTGAAGAAAAATAAACAAACTATATCTTATGCCAAACATTCAAAACACTATGTTATCGAAGCCTCCACGCAGACGCAAAACTCACCACCAGCTCCGTGAAGCGGGCGTCCAGCTCCTGTGAGGGAGGCATGGGCTGAATGGGCTCCAGTCCCATGAAGAGGTTCGGGTTGTCATGGCAGTAGGTGATCTCTGGCTGCTGCTCCCGCTCTTCTTTAAAACAGCAGGAAAATATGGAATAGAAATGTCCCTCCTGATGCTGCTTCCCATGGGACGCCATCATCCCACCGCAGCCTTTGAAGACACAGGGAGGACAGTTACATATATATATATATATATAATCTCTGACAGCAAAACATGAAATATATCCATCCATTTCCTTCGCTTTATCTAACAAGGGCAGCAGCCTGAGTCTTCTCTGGGGTCTCCTCCAAGTGGGACATGCACAGAAAATGCCCCCAGGGATGCATACAAAAGGCTTTCTCTCGACGTGGAGCAGCAGCGGATCTAATCCGAGCTCCTACTGTGTGACTTTCTAATGCCCAGCCATTCTGTGAAGGAAACTCATTCCAATCGCTTGTATCTGCGATCGTATCTGGAGCGTAGATCAACCGATAAATCGAGAGTTCAACTTCCTCTTCGTCATTACATTGTGGTAAAATATAATGATTTTGAGAATTGTAGATGTTATATTTTAACTTTAAAACTACAAGAGAAAGTCATTCTGTTGAGGCTGTTTCCTCACACACAGAGTGATGTTGAGATCAATATCCAGCTCTTCTAAACACGTTTCCCTGTTTATAATTTACCCACAGTATACATTTCATGAAAACACGGTTAGATTACCGTGAGCTGATAGAGAGTCAAAGTTTTTGACATTTAGCTGCAGACAGACCTCGATAGACCTGTTGGTTTGGACACACCTACCCAAGAAATAAATCCTCACAGACACATGGAAAGTTACTGTCAGGGGGGTGCACACTGGTTCCTTGATTGTAAAACTAACATTTTTCACTTGACTGAAAAGCGTTATCCCCAAAATCTCACTCTAAGTATGCACCAAAGCTGGATCGGTAGCTTTGCAAGTATTTACAACCTCTGCTATTTTAAAACCGTAAATTCTACTTTTGAGCTGACAAGATGGGAAAGTGATTTATTTTTATTTTTTGTCAATTTAATCCCTTATGATTTCTTTACTACATGGAGACCTTATTGGTAGAAGACTGCATCAGTCTTCAGAAAGATGGCTAAAATATGACAGTTTTGGAACATGTTGGGTTAAATATAGAAAGAAGATTACTTTTGTTTCCAATTACTGTTGATAAAGAACCACAACAATGTTTTGTGCAAAGTTCAAATTTCATTCACAGCAATAAAGTCCTAGTTCACAGTGAAACAGTGAGCCTTTTCTGCTTTTAGAATTGATTCTAACAAAGAACTAAAACATAAACCTGTTTATCTAAATATGCAGGAAAACTACACAAAGTGATAACATTTAACAACATTGGAGGATTTTTTTCAGGGTTTATTCATATTTTTGCTAATTCAATTTCAATTCATTTCAATTTGTTTTTGTATAGCCCTAAATCGGAACAGGCGTTGTCTCAGAGGACTTTACAAAGTTGTCAATTCACCAACAACAGATCAAAGAATTAAACAGGTTAATTGTTGAATCTAAACACTGTTGGACAGAGAGGACATTAAAACATAATCACATCTATGCAGAAAAGCTAATGAGGAGTTATTTATCCATTCATGTTCATAAATACTTATTTTTATGTTGATCCTAATGTTGTAACTACTATAAAGCTGGTGTTCCTGTCACGTTCTTAACAAGTCAGACCACGCCATGCTTTTACATACTGCGAGCTGATTGGCTGAGAGAGGGCTGGTTTTATCTTACCGCTTTCATGTGATCTCGGAAACTCTGAGATATCTACGTAACCTTCCAACTTCCCAAAGTCAGAGCGTTCACGAGGAGCCGGTGATGCTAGTGACACACACGGGCGGCGACAACAACAATACAAAAAAGGCGTAACGTCATGTAAAATGTAATTGCTCATTCATTAGAAAGGCACAGAAACCTTTTCTTTTGTGATACAGGAGCAAAAATTGTGCTTATACATATAGTTCTTAAAAAATACATTCTTTTGATTATTATTTTGAACACATTTTGGGTTTAAATATGTTGATATGTAAATCCATCAGTGTGATATATAACACATCCCCCGTCTCTTTTCTTTTGTCCAATCTGACTGGTATCACAGTGACCGAGTTGAATTTCTGAGTTGAGAAGCATTTATTCTCATTTTTTCATGCGGGAATTTTGGAATTTTCAAGTTACTGAGATCGCATGAAGTCGGCATCTTTTTCATTAAAAAAGCTGATCTAAAGAAATACATACATGGACCGAACCGAACCGTTTTGAGAGGGAGGGACTAGCTACAGTAGATGGCTTTTATTACATAGTTATTTTTTTGTTTGTTTTAAAGTTATAAACTCCAGCTTTAGTTATAAAAAGACGTCAACACAAAATATGATAAATAATCTCGACCATATTGTTAACCTTTTGTTATTGCGTATTAATCATTAAAGCGCACATGTTTTTTGTGCAATGGTCCAGTCGATGTTTTTACATAACGCAACAATCCATTCACTGACGCAATGGAAGGACTCTGCCGGACATCAATAATAATCATCCACTCGTGTGCACAGGGATCACACTGTTAGGATCCACTGTGTTTGGTTTAGTCCTGGTTCAGACCCAAGTTTCTTCCTGGATTATCCCTGGTCAAGACCCTCCCTGTCTATAAATGTACTCTTTATACACTTTTTCCCTTCTTATTCTTTTTTTGCATGGTTGGTAATGTATACACTTTAGGTTCCAGATGAAATAGCATCCAGACCATGTTTAATAGATAGATAATAGATAGATTTTCTTTCTCCTACAAGGAGAAATTGAAGTGACTATTAGCCAATACAGACAACACAGATAATCGACAAACACAGTGGCCATACTATCTGTTTGAATTTGTTTTATTTGTGCTTCCCATTTACCATGTGAGCGTGACATCACCTCTTTCTTTTCGTCCTGGGGCGTAAGGCTGAGGTTAAAGGCCAGTATCGGTGGCACAACACAGAGCGGATGCATCAAGGACAGCAAACAGTGTAAATGTGTGTTTTTCACAGGCAAAAACAGATCTATCAGACGGAGCTGCGCTGTATTTAGAGCATACAGTGACGTGCTATTGTCTTGGTTTTGTTTTCACACAGAACATGATCAATGTCAATGTTTAAAAGATATCACTGTTCAGCAATTTCATAGAATTCACTAGAAAGACTTTGTGTATCTCCAAAGCCATGGCTTCATCTCCGACCTCTAACTTATTCTAATACAATAATACAAATCCAATACAAAGAAGTTAGAAGTAAAGTATTGGATTTCATCTTGTTGCTATATACTTTGTTATCATTTTTATTTTCAAGTTGACAAACGTTGGGCTGAATTCAATCAATAATAAAAAAGATTGATTAATTAGATTTCCTCAATACATTTTTCTATTTGTTTCATTTTTATAAAGACCACATGAAGCAGCACATTGAACTTGTTTCACACAGAGCTGCTTCTGAGTGATGTCACACTGCACACACTATATATATACATGATACATTCATCTATATGTATACATTTAAGGAGATCATGTCAAAGAGAAAGTTCAATAGATTTACTAAATTAATCGATAGCGTAGTTTAAATACTAACACTGTAAAACTGAACTAAATCTGAATTTATTTGTTTTGCCATTTTGAGTAACAAGAAGTCACAAACAAGGAAATGCATTTGGCTCTCGGTGCAAACAAGTTAAAAAGTTAAAATAGAATAAAGCATGCATAAAAATAAAAACTCTACATAACTTTTCTTAAAATTACTATATTATTACGTAGAAGTACACACAGACATTAGCAGTGCAGTAAAGAGAAATTGTAACGCTCTCTCTCTCTCTCTCTCTCTATATATATATATATATATATATATATATATTTCCGTCAGCTGTTATAATAATAATAACAATGTATTTACAGTATATTGCACCATACATCTCAAGGAAACCTCAAAGTGCTAACAAATGTGCAATGACACGCTCCCCTCGGCCGCTGGATCACCCGTCCACACCTCGCTCTAGCTTCCCTTGAACACAGGTGTGAAGCACGTTTCTCAACACCATCCAGAGCACAATAGAGTGATTAATGACCACACGCCTCTGACCTGTGTCCCCGGCCACTGTCTCACTGTACAAAGACAAAGACAGTTCTGCATGTGGGGAATATGTCACCTGTTGTTTTTGTCATATATAAATGATGAGGATAAGGAAGCAAGAGTAAGACTAATGGATAAAAGTGTACAAAATAAGGGCGACTTCTGCCTGCGGGATTATCAGTGGAAGCATACTCCTTGTGGATTAGTCAGTATCGTGGTCTTCATTTCAGTTCAAGACTTTAGCTGTCATAAAAGGGCTACAGCCACTTAGTATTATCACTTTTGTATTTTAATAAATTCAACTGCAATGCAAAATGGAAAATCTTGCATTGATTGTCACTTTGGATGATAGATAGATTAGATATGGGAATAATAAGGGTGACCGACCATTTTTGTTAGAGAAGGAAGCTGAGAAATAGGTCTATCAAATGTTTCATCATATGTTTTATAAATATCACATAATCATGGTACAAAATCGCGAAACAACCCAAAGAGGCAATTCTTCATATTTAGTCAGGATTATTTCTGAATTTCAGCTCATAGTTGAAATATTGTTGGGAAAATTCACAAAGATAAAGATGTAGATACAGCAATTTGTTTGAATAGGTTGAAAAAATGCATTGTTATTCGTTACATTATCTTCATTTACAGTCAGCGTTATTCTTGTTTTCTTTTCAAGTTTGACTTCTGGACCCTAATATTTGAACTGTTCCATCGATGAAGCAAAACAAACATTTAAGCCCCAAGGTTCACTGATAATGCTAACGACAACACAGAAACCAATACCAACAAACTGCCACTGCTGGTGTAATAAGTCCCAAATAATGCAAGAATATTACAGATTTAATTTAAGTTTAAACATGTTTTATTTTCCTCTTTTTGCCGCAGCCACTTAAATCTCTCTCAAATAATCAATATAAACTATCAGGCCGCTCTGTGTTGTTTTTACAGCAAACTTCTACTGAACGATGTAGTTACGTGTCGGTACATCAACCTTGGAAGGTAATGTTTGTAATGACATTTTGTATCTTACCTTGCGTGTACAGGTCTCAGTCTACGTGAGGCAGAATGAGGCCATCACGGGACGTTGGTGCTGGTGAATGAAGCGCTCACGTCAACAAAGAGGTAAAATCATTAGCTCTTTTTGAGTTTCCTTTGGCACATAATATCAGCTGATAATCACAGGGAGGAACTGCATGCTCCTTCTTCATCTTGTCCTGTCATGTTGCCTGTAATCCCACTTTCTGACGAGCAATCAAAAACTCCTGGGATAATGATGTTAATTTCATCCACCCCTCCAAAAAGAGCTCAAAATGAAATCCTTGTGAATAGATCCAAAGCAATGTTATCCATAGATTCGCTCGGTGTGTTGCGAGTAACTTTGTATGTTAGAAGATAGAGTCAGAAAGGCTTTGGTTTGGAGTGTGGAGAGGTGAAAACACACACTACTGCATTCCTACAGCAGCCAGTCACACCCCAACCTCACCCATGCAGCTCCATGTGTGTGCGTGGGTAAAGAGCTCATTAGATCATCAGCAGAAACTAGCTAACTCTTATGTAAGGCCTGTTACCTTTATTTTGCTTTCAATGAGGTAATATTCTACAGGCAAAACTTTACATTTTTTTGGTAATTTTCATCGTAATAATAAACATTCACGCCACACAAACTCGAGCCATATGTGATAATATCCATCCACTTAGTTTGCTCTCATGTTCACATGCATGTATTTTTGGCCTCTGACACATCTTTTTCAAACAGAAGAGTGAAAAACACAGAACCAAACTCACTCAGCAAACAAGCTTTCAGCCCAAAGAGTCAAATAGGGACTCACAGGGTTCCTTCTTGCAACTATGGGGCTGTGATTGTCTCAACATTCAATGTATTATTATTAATGAACAAAAACAGTTAAAACAGGTACCCCGGCTTTAACCTGACAATAGCAATAGTCCAATTTGCAGCTAATGCCATTGAATCATTGTTTACTGTTGAATGCGCTGGAAAACGGCAGCAAGTCCTAAGTAGTTCTGAAACAGTTCTTGTTTTGTGCTTTACAATTTTTATTTTTATTGCTTTTTTCCACCTGAGATGTTGCTGCAGTACAGTGTGCATGGTTTTGAACTGGTCCAGACCAGAGCAAAGAGGATTCATGGTCCGAACCAAGTGGATCAGGTGAAAATCCACTGGAGGAATGCTAACTTTTTGAAAAATGCTAATGAAGCATTTAACATTTTACTTTGGACTAGAGCAGAGAAAAGGGTCCGAACCAAGCGGCTACTCCACATCTGCTGCTGTGACCCGTCCTACTCCACCCAGTGGCTACTCCACATCTGCTGCTGTGACCTGAAGGACTGTTACTATTGCTAGCATTTTAGAATGATCAGTTTTATTTTATTTATTTTTTTACTGCTAAAAAATACTTTTTGACTTTACTACTTTATGATTTTAATCTGAGTTTATTAATTAAACCAGAATGAATAAACATGTTCACCTTTTTGAACAAATCTTTTATCCATTGTACATTGTAATAACATTAAACTGCAAGAGATATCTGTATATTTTTCACTCTCAGTATCCTTTTATAAAATACAGCCATCCAACAAAAGAAGAATAATGCTATTGCAACTGTGTTTGGTCATGTCTTGTAAATATTGCACACAGTCCTCCTGCAAACTGCCCAGGTGAAATTAGACTCTATTTTAATTTCTCCTCCATGGATTTGGATCCCTTTCTCAGACCATGACTCTTTTGATACCAGATACTAGTGAATAGTATCATATTATTTTCTATTTTTATCTTTATGGTTTGAAACCCCTTTGTGGCTGAGTCTATAATCTCTATTCAGCCATAATTAGACCCTCAGATATTGCATTTGGTTGAATCAAATTTTAACCATTTGAAATTCTCTTTACAACATACTGAATCACCATATGACAGAATGATTATAATGCAAAAGCAAAAGTGTCACCTGTTTTGTTTTGACTGAAACCATCACCTCACCGCAAAAGCACCTGAAATATCACCAGATGCCTTTGATGGAAAACTGCCAAAGTAAAGTCTCCTCTATAAACCTGTGAACAAGGATAAAAACAGGGATTTAATGTGAAACCATGACAAATGTTATGTTTCCTCATACTGTGCTGAAGCCTAAAACCACTAAACCATACTGTGTTGCATTTCTCAACAACATACACAGTCGTTCTTCTATTGGATTGACCTGTCTTTGGTCTAGTGCTGTTGCGAAAATCATTTACGTCAAAGATAATTTGCCAGTCCCCCCTCAGACAGTTCAGCGACTTTCAGCGTATGTATAATGATGTGTTATTAAAGTGTGGGGATGGCTTTATCTGGGTGTAGCCACTGAACTGTCTGTCAGAGCTGACTCACTCACGTCTGGCAATTATAGGTCACTCGAGCAGATAGCAAGCAACATGTGGAGGATCAGTTTTTATCATGGTTTTATATGCAGGAAGAATCTGCAGTTCTGAATCCTGGTCAGGGCTGCACAATGTTGTTATTGCACTTTTGGAAAGTGTCAGAAACTGGCTTAAGGTTCAGACAAAAATGGAGTCCGCACACGTTTAAAAATGTACAAAAATAGGATGTTTATTTTAAAAGGCTGCTACTGCATGGTGAGGGGCATCCAGTGAGTTCCTGTTTGTGACCTCTGAACATTGTAAAGTGCTTTGGGTGACCTCGATCTGTAAAAATGCGCCGTAAAAATAAAGTACTTACTTACTTTTGAATGTGGGAGTCCCAAATCTGCTCCCCCATTGGCTGGAACCTGGAAGGAGGAGAGAGCCAGCAGCTGCACACAAACCGCAAGACTGGGGTTGTCACAGCAAGTGCAATATTGACATCACAGACATGTGCAATATTGGAATGAATACATCATGTGTTTATTTTTTCTTTATTCAGGGACAGCAAACATCAGTGGAAGTAGAAGGAGTAGGTCTCAGACAGCGGGACGAGGTGAATGGGTGGAGCAGGTCCCTCACTCCATATCATCATTATCGCTGTGCCTGACTCAACTATCACACATGGCTCTCTTTTTCAGTTTTGTGCAGCCCTTATCTGGACTTCCATGAGTATATTGCAACCTCAGTTTAAACAAGATACATCGAATCCTTTTTTCTGAAGTAGATGAAAGAAAACAGGAAAAAAATTGATCCACATGTTTTGCAACTGGCTCCTCATGCTGTTTACTGATCGAGTGTCCTGTATTTCCGTTGGATGCACAGAAATCTCTGTTTTCTCCAACCCCCTCTCTCGACAGTTATAGTAATCAGTTATTTTTTTCTCTTCTTTCTCACATAGTACAAGCCTCCTTTATTCATTCAATCATTCCCTTTATGTGATTGGATGTGTGACTCAAACCACCCCTCACGTTTCAACTTTTACCCTCTTTTACATAATAAGCACCCGTGAGCTATAAAGCACATGTTGTTGTCTGAGAATACAGAACAAATGAATACATCTGGCACTGGGCCCTCAAGACTTTAACAGATGGGTTCAAAAATAAATGTGGGAAGTTCAATTCACAATAACTGGGAAAACACATTTATGAAAGAAAAACACCTAATCCTAATAAAAGGTTTCTAAGCTGTTTATTTAAGTAAAATACACACTAAAGGTTTACCAAATTTTGATATTTTGATATCATTTTCACAATGGTGACAGAGATGAAAACCTCTTGAAAACATCTTAAGCCTCGGAGTCTCCAGTCCTGTGGGCTCCACATTCTTCTTTGAGAAATACCAATAATACATTGTTGGAATTATCATTACATCTGAAAAGGCTGATCTGAACATGTGACAGAGGCCAAACATATGCAGGTGAAAGAGAGAACAGGACTGTAACCGTTTATTCAACAACTATTTTAGTATTTGATTAATTGTAAACCGCTTATTATACAAACTTCATATTTTGAACTAACTTTTATTCTGTGTTTTACTTCAGCCTTGTGTGACACTGTGATAAAATAATGTTTATGTGTTCTTAAGGTGACAGCTTTAGGATAGAACCAAAGTGTTTTAAGAGCTAAGAACATGGATTTTAATAAATATTTAGTTGTGGGAGGTAAAGTCAGGTGCTCAAGCTTTAAACAATTAGGACTTATCTGTGATCACGAAACAGTAGCAGAGTCGTGACGTGTTCATCCTACAGAGACACGCTGTTATCTCGAGCCCAGATCATCATGTGTCATACAAACCTGTTACTGGCTGAGGAATTACTGTGTACCTGGTTCTATTCCTCTTCTGTCAGGCCTTCTAAATCTCTGTTAAAACCAGATAAAGTCAGGTGACATTCCGGCATTTGCACTCAGCTGAAAGGGCGGAGTTCTTTTGTCTCCTCAAACCCATTACTGTCTCTACATATATACCCTGACATGACCCACTGAGCTTACAGATTTACCACAGGTTGTTGAGACGTGCAGAATATCACAGCTGCATCTTTCTTATATTTGTTTGTTTGTTTGCTATCCTTTTTTATTTGTGTGATAATGGGGTTCACACATTTTACAGGCCAGTAACCCTAAAATAAATGACTATAATTTGTTTATAAGGATATCCAGTAAAAAGCATTGTGTATTTCATATAGTGCAATATTCAAGTTGTTTAGCGCTTTCCTTTGACACAAGATTTAGATTTAATGCAGTCGTCATTTCCAAATACAATACAGCATTTTTAGCTTTTGAAAATTACTATTTGAAATAATCTTGAAAACAAGCTTTTGCGTCATAATAAATGTGCATTGTCCAATTAAATACATAAAACCTGTTCCTTCTTTGGGATATATTAATTGAAGTTAGAATAATTATAAACCTTTAATGCATCTTGTTTTGAGATATTTACTTAGATTAATGGATCAGTTATAAAATTAAAGAATGTATTAGTAGTTCACAGTAGATCATTTTAAATACTGTACATCAGCAATGACACTCAATGCTCGGTGACAACAACTGATCTTTGTCCTTAAATGATTCTCCAAACTCTTGTCTTGTATTATGGCAAAAAATATGTTATATTGTGTTATAGTGTTTTCTTTCACTTTTTTGAAAGATATTGGTGTCCAAAAATGATCCACATTCTTAAGATTGTGTACTATTATAGTTAGAAACACTGAGCTACATGTTTTCATTGACCAGGCTATAGAAACAGCCAAGGAATATTATTATAGATCTATAACTAGGCATTGACAACAGTAGTGTTTGGATGTTAGCCATATTAGCTACAGCTTATGTTTACAATGAGAGCTCTTTGGAAAGTCATCACTCCCCCTGGAGGCTGTTAAGTCCATAACACTCAAATTCATAACAGCCTCACAATTTTACAGATCATAATTTAATTGATAAGGATAACAATAATTCACATTATTAAGACAAATTCCCTTTGATCACTGTATGTAAAAGAAAAAAGAAAAAAATCAGTGTTAAATATGTTTTTTTAAAATAACAAAAGCAATGAAAGTCACTCAAAGTCAAATGTTAAAGAGTTGTATTTTGTAAGAACGGTACCCTGTTAAAGGCATATTTAAGGACATTTATACATATAAAGTAACATATTACCAAGCAAACAGACAGTAATACAATCCAAAAGATAACGACGTGTACAGTGGACGTAGCTTAAGAGAAAAACAAAATGTCATTCTGAAGGTAAATAAATTGATCATTATGTGGGGTTGTTAACACTTGCAGCTGTTTTTGGCTTTTGTTAAAACATAGAAGGGTTCATTATAACCAATTCTAACAGAACGATACTGCACATAGACTTTTTGGCACTGCTCGTTAAATTAGTACTATAGGCTTCATTGCTTACACAAAAGTTAAATCAACGTTGAAAATTGAAAATGTGTTCACATCTCTGGGCACCTGTGCTGTTTCAGTGGAGTACTTTGATCTCCTTTTGCAATAAATGAACATAATGATACTGCATTCGATCGTTCACACGGATATTTGTTCATCACATAAACCTTATACCACGCACATTACATTTGATATGTTTTTTCAATGTTCTATTTTGATATATGCTACAGCTACTAACTGAAGAAGAAATCACCACCATGGGGCAGCTATGTAATTAAAATATATCCTTATACACAGATTCAACAAAACAATGAGTGTTATGCAATATTTTGGGCCATCAAACATAATTATGAGTATATATTGATTAATTTATTGACCTTTATGGAAACAGGAACGTCCCACTGTGATTTCCCTGACACGTTTTTATTGGCAGGGGAAACCGCACCTGGTAGAAACCTACGCAGACACGGGAGAACATGTAAAGTTCACACAGAAGCCTGGAGGTGGAACTGAACTCAGGACCTTTCTGCCGTGGAGCAAATATGGAAAACAAGTAATGTACATAATGCTCTTGGCCTGTCCTTTCCTGATGCTACCACCAGAGGGAGGTTCAGATTCAGACCACTTTGTTTATCCCACCAGGGGCAATTTGTTTGATGTAGCATTTGTTTTAGTTTAATCCAAACTTGAAAATTACTGACTGCAACCACATGCCATGTGATTATGAAGAATGTAATTTCTCAAAAGACATTGTCAAAACTACTTTATAGGCACAACTGTTGTCAGAAAACTGTTCTGAGTGTGATGTCATAGTGGCACAATTACAATCATACTATTACGAGACGTTTCTGATGTTAGCATGGATGGATCTAAAAACAACTCCAGGTCTGCTTTTGAAGAGGAACAATGTTGTATCGTGGTTCGAAGGCGCAAGCTCGAGTTTGCATGACGTTGAAGTCCAGTATGAATGCAACAAACATCAGGTCAACAAGAATATACTCTACAATGTTTTGAAAAGTATCAGGATACGCCTTTGTATGCCGCATATTGCCAAGAACTTTGTCACGATATATTGCTGTATCGATATTTTGAGAACAGCCTGGTCAGCGGCATGTCTCAGAGAAGCCTAGTTTCAGTGGAAACAAGCAGATTCGCAAAACAAAAAATAAATAGTAATATGTATTTTCTAACTATCCATTTTCTTCTCCTTAATCCATTTCTGGGTCGGGGGGGGGCAGTCAGATCTGCACCCAGTACACAGAGCACCAGCCCCTCACTGATCCTCCTGCAGGTGGTGAGTCCACAGGAGTCCACAGTATTTTCTAACCATAATAATGAATTTTAGTCATATGAGAAATATGTTGTGTAGCATCATCTTCAGACCTGAACATGTCTCTATTCTACAGTCTATGGTCCTTCCCCAATTTGAGTTGTTGATGCTATTATAGTGACTGTCAGATGAAGATGTTGTTCACCATTCATTTAATTAGAGTTTGTAAAGAAAGTTGTATAATGTTTTTGGATGAGGAACCATTAGATTGGTATGGTGTTAGTGCCATATGAACAAACTTGTAATCTGAGGAGCACAGGGACTGGCCTCCTGCTGGGACTCTGAGGAGCACAGGGACTGCCCTCCTGCTGGACTCTGAGGAGCACTGGGACTGGCCTCCTGCTGAGACTCTGAGGAGCATAGGGACTGGCCTCCTGCTGGTGCTCAGAGTCAGGACTAAACATGGGGGGCAGCATTTCAGATTTATAGTTTTCCATAAAATGTGAGAAAGGCTACAACTCTGACAATGTTCAAATCCAGGTTAAAAAATAGTTCTGTTTAACTGCATACTCTATTTAACCCTTTAATGGTTTCCTTAATCATTTGGTGGATCACTTTTTTAATCACTCTATCTACTTGAAATCTACCTCATTTGAGCATTTGGTTTTAGGCACTTTTACCAAAAAACTGCATGTCGAACACTTGGTTAAGACCTATAATAAAAATCTAGGGGTAAGAAAACAACAAAAAGACTGTTATTAGTGCTCCTACATCTTAGAAAATCCAAAAAAGCTTTCATGGAGTGAAGAAAGCTCAATGAAAGCTTGTTTTGTTTGCAACTTTGAGTTGCCTTCTATATGAACTGTGCTGTACAAATAAACTTGCCAGCCTTACCTACTTGTCTGTAAACTCAAATTGGGGAACGTCACCTCCTTTCAGAAACGTTGCATTGTGAACTTAGGACTTTGGGAACAGATGCCCTGATGCAGCTTTCTCCGTGTATCTGGTCTCATGGCGTATAAAGGGCACAGTCACTCGGCTATGGAAAATAAACAGTTTTGTTACAGAATACAAAAACACTGCATAAAAAAGTAGTTTCTTTCAGTGAGTAAGTCTTCGAGGTGTTACAAAGTCCTCAACACACAAAAAAACTTGCCTCTTCCCAAACACAACGCAGTCCTTTCACCAGGCTTTAAATGTCACAGGCTGGTGTCCGGGGTCTTGTTCTTGGGACCGCTCACCGAGTTGGCTACAGTGGCCGTGTCAGGCTGCGCGTCTCGGCAGAAGAACACTGCAGGGTTTTTACACGCCCACATAGCCACCTCTCCACCGCCGCCTCCTCCTCCGCCGCCTTTGCCCGGACTGGAATGGGACAAGCGGCTATTGTTGTTCACCCCAACGCGACTCACGTATCGATCTCTTATCCTATCCGCTTGATTTAACCTGATTTCTCTATTTTGATTGTGGCTAGACAAGTAAGCCGCAATGTTTCTGGTCCGATATCCCTCCTCTCTACTCCTTCCCAGTAACATGGAAATATTGGGATTCCTCAAAGCGTAAATCAGAGGGTTGATTGCTCCGTTTGCCCAGGCCAGCCAAATAGCCACGGTGTCCATTGCCGGGTTGAAAGTAAAGTTCCCCATTGCTGTGATGAGTCCCATTAAACAGTATGGCCCCCAGCAGAAAATGATAAAAACAATCATTATCAAAACTGTTGTGGCTGTTCGCATCTCGCTGTAAAAACGCAGCAAGTATGCGTAAGTGGTAACTGGTCGGACGCGTATTTCAGAAAGTCGGACCGTCTTGCAAATGTTGTAATGGCAAAAACACATGAGGGAAAAGGGCAGGAGATAGCAGATGACAATAAGACTGACGCTATAGGCTGTTCCCATTCGTGATGTCCCTGAGTGGAAAACATACATACAATGGTAGAAACCTTTTTTGTGGATCTCAGCGGGTGTTCGAACAAGCAGGTACCAAGGCAGCGAAAATATGACCGCAGTTAACCAAACCGCTATCAAGAGCTGGGTTGCTTTCTGCCTCCCTATCTTTGCTTGGGGCTGCCTCACGATGGCGTAGTATCTATCAAACGAAATCAAAGTCATTGTAAGAGTCGATATTATGCCGAAACACGTGTTAAAAAACCCGTTGGCGACACAAAAACGGTCTCCGAACATCCATATGCCGTCTTTACTGAAAAGCATCACAAAGGAAAAGGGCAGGCAGAGCACAGCCGTGAGGAAATCGGACAGAGAGAGCGACATTATGAAAGCGTTGGTCACCGTGCGGAGTTGCCTGTGCTTGATGATGACGATGACCACGGCGGAGTTTCCCAGGCTGGACAGGAGGAAGATGGAGAGGAGGATGAGGGCCTGCGCTGCCACGGCGATACCCCGGAGGATGGAGTTGGTTTCGACCGCGCTCAGGACAGAAGGGGTGGGTGGGTGGCGCATGGTGCTCAGGTCATTGCGCGGGTCGGACCGGTTCCCCTGGGTCACCGCTATCCCCTCTGTGGTGGCTGAGACCAGGCTGGTAACTATGGAGACTACCCTGGAAACAACATTCTGGCAATCAATCAATCAATATCATTTTGTATGGAGGTTATGCAGATTATGTTAGGAATTATAATAATGGGTCAACAATGTATTAGGTTATGTGAGATGAGAGATGAAAAGATTTCCTGGAAACCTCACAAAAGTACCTGTGGACAAGAGAATCTACGTGGAATGACGTCAAGATCGAGCAATTTACTGAACGCTGATTCTCTACGTTTATTGTTCATTCATAATTGTTCATTCATAGAACTTTCCGCACTGAGGGAAGACTAAAGGTTATCTTATCTTCATGAACTGTATTCTCATTGTCTGTTCACAATTACATTTCTTCTGCGAGGATAATGCACACAGCAGTTGAGTGGTTAACAAGAAAGTCCTGGGTTTGGTGCTCCGGTTTCCTCCAGGTGCTCCGGTTTCCCTACCACTTTTATTTTCTGATTTGTACTTCATAAATAAATTTGCTTTGCCTTGCCTAAAAAGTCATTCTTGCATCTTATTATAGATTATAGACGGCTTTCTTAATATGCTAAAGCTAAAGATTTGAATTTATGTTATTTTATTTAGTAGAGAGTTTAGTATAGAGCAGCCATTCCCAAACTCAGTAACACCGAGGCCCCCTTAAAAATCTGACGGGTCTGCGTGGCCCCCCAAAATAATAACCAAGAAGACAACATTAAGAATAGGCTCTTCTGGTTATTTTATTTTGGGGAAATAGCCTCTGCTACAAACATTGTAATACAAAAATGATTACAGTGGATTATTCAAGTCAAATAATGAACACAAATATTTTAATATTACAAACAAAACATTATAAATTTAACATTAAATAATTATATATATATATTTTTTTTTTTATGACTTCCCGCGGCCCCCCTGCAGTACCCTCGCGGCCCACCAGGGGGCCGCGGACCCCACTTTGGGAGACACTGGTATAGAGTTATCGACACCACCTCTGCTGCTATGACCTACTATTGTTAGCTATTTTTAGAATGATCTATTTATTTGTTCTGCTGCTACTGGAAACCTGAATTTCTCCTACGGGGATCAATAAAGTATCTATCTATCTTGTATAGTGTTTACCTTGTGCTGTGTGCTCATTCCTACTGTACTGTAACTGGCGATGCAACACTGACATTTCCCCACTGACAAACAAAGGATCTCTTTATCTTGAAAGTGCAGTAAGCGATTTTGTTAGCTTAGCCGTAGCACCAACGGGAAATCACTCCGCCCTCCCCTCGCCTCTCCACCAAACCAAACATCCAGCATTTTTCTTTCTTTGTCACAAATGGGAGAGTGGGTGGCAAACGTGAAATTGGCATTTTCTGTTAAGCCATTTTAGGCTTTAGAAAATCCGATGACTCAGGTGCGCGCACTCGGGAGAAACAGGAAGAGGGTGAAGGAGGTAAAGGCATCCCATTGGTTTGTTGGGGGTGAACGAATCCCATTGATTTATTTGTATCCATTACTATTCGAAAACACATGATAAGTTGACTACTTTTAGGGTTTAGGGACGTTTTCCTACAATATTTAAATAAACAAGATGCTGAAATCTCATTTGGACTTGCCTGTAATCTTTATTTATATACCGCCTTTTCACTGCACATCGGAGTCTCAAAGCGGTTTACAATTGTTATTTTTTTGGGAGTGGGGGTGCCAGTACAGGAGGCACATGCCAGACCTATTGTACATATTTTTAGTGGTAGGGGAAACCGGAGTACCCAGAGGAAACCTACGCAGACACGGGGAGAACATGCAAACTCCACTCAGAAAGGCCTTGGTCCAACCGGGATTCGAACCCAGGACCTTCTTGCTGAGAGGCGAGAGTGCTATCCACTCAGCCACCGTGCCGCCCTGCCTGATATAACAAGAGTCAATAAAAACACATACATTGCGAACACAGATGTGATCAAACATGTTCACTGACAGCAGCTTTACACAAACAAATCTTGGGGGGAAAAGCAAAGAAACATTTGATAACTTTTTCTATCCCGGAGCCTGGAGATGGGTGCATATTTGTCACGGTGGGCCTCTGATCTTACCTGGGGATGACAGGAGAGAGGGTGCTCAGCTGGTGGAGTGTGCCGTTTGCCTGCAGGGCTGTAGTAGCAGACGGGTCCATCACGACAGCTCAGTGACCACAAAGTCAAACTCATCCCGGACTCACACACGTTCTTTCAGACCTGGGCTGAGCAAAAACACCAGTGTCCTAGATCCAGACACCGCTACACACACTCTACACCACCCATTCGCCACCTTCGTTTTCATAATCCTGAAACAAAGAACGGAATAACAAGAGTGAGATTGTGCTTTGTCTAGCGGTGTGACTGAATAATGTTAACATTTGGTGACAACTTAACTAAATCTGAAATCTAGTGACTGCAATCTGATTCTTTTTCATTGAACATCTGCTGGAGGTACGTACATATTTCACTGCATGTGACAAACAATAATAAACAAACTAAACTAAACCACTGTCACATATTTACATACATACATAGAAATTATACAAGTATGCTGCAGGCAGAGCAAAGTAAAAGCTATAATGTTGTTACAATACCACTGAAAGAATCAATAGCCCACATCAAATACAATGTTCTCCTTCAAGTAAGTTTACATAAGAATAATTGGTTCAATTCGTTGAAATAAAGAAAACATTATCTCCTTATGGCATTCTGAAGACTGATCGCTGAGAGGTCATTCATTCATATAGATTCCCTAAAGCCGATTTCAGGCTGTATTCAGGCTTCCTCAGAGCTGGGTGCACCTGTTGTACAACCTCAATGTACAAGTAATAAAAGTGATTATATAAACTATTTTACAAGAAAAAACATGCTTGGATGCACAGAAGCTTTGTTACTACATAATTATAAGTAATACAAATAATTCTGCTGTGATTTAGGAATAATAAACTCACCCATTTGTTAATAATGAAATAATAACAGCATGACTTCTTATACAATATACAATTATTAGCCTGCCAAGGATTATTTAGTAAGGATACGGTCATTATTTTGTCTGTAAGCTTGTTATTTAGGCAACAGGGTACGTTTCCTGTTTTCCTGTTATATATTTTATACATTCTTCTATGACATGTTCTCAAAATGAGGCCCATCCCACAGTGTCAGTAAACAACACCTGCTATGACTGTTGTGCTAGCATTTTGATCATTTTCTTATGATTTCAGATGACTTTATTATCTCACATGTGCCACAGTGGATTCAAATCCTAATCCCAGAGACAGTAGTCAGAAACCCCGTTTGTTTTTTTCTTGCTGGGTTTTTTCCAACCTGTATACAAATCTGCCTGGCCTTTTCAATCCATCGTGACAAAATAACAAATAAGACCTCTTTACCATTCGCGTAGCTCCGTGACGCCAGAGGATGGGTGGACGAGGTGGACAGCCGGTTTGGAAGCGATATTCTCGGCATAAACATTGTGTCTTTGGTCCGCGGTGGTCTCTCCATTCATGTGTTCTGTGCAGGGTCTCAGCGGTGATGGGGAAGCGGTCCAGGGCGAGCTGTTCGGCGGCTGCTTCTGCTGCTGAGACTGGGGGGGGGAGGACCGGAGACTAGACGCACGCCTCCCTGTGTCTCTGTCCTCGCCGTGTTTCAGTGGGAGGAGGGACGCTAGAGGCAGACGTGGAGGCTGTTGCTAGGGACGTTGGGAAAAAGAGGACAACGTATATGAATGTATTTTGGAATTATTATTTTTTTATATAGTTTTTCTAGTCATTTAGTGATAATTATAATTATTGCTATCAATTTTAAAATTCGATGAAACCAAAATAATATACATATAAAAAGGGAAAAGGGGACAGCGTATGATAGAGCGTAGTCCACTTTATTTATAAGAAATATAAATAAAGTTATACAATTTATTTTATAAGAAATACAAAAATAAAAACAATATAAATATAAGTATGCATGAATATAATTGCTAATACACCAATACTACTGGTACAATATTACACTATTAAATATCTATTACATTTATATTGTGTGTACTGTTTCACTTGTATGTAGTAGTGATTTAAATGAATGTTTTATTTTTGGGCATGCCTGATAACAAAATTTTACTTTTATAATTTTCACCTTGAGCCAAAGCCTGTTACTTACAACGACAGAAAAAAAGAGTTCTGATTCTGATTCTATTTCTAAGAAAGAGATACCTATAAAATGAATACAGGTGCTGAAATAGATCACTGAAATACTATGCAATATATAACATAGATCAAATCACTGAAATTACAACAATATAACAATAACAGAAACACAGAGGAGCAGCTCATGCGATGTAAAAGACAGAGAAACAAAGTGGATCTTAAGGATAGAATAATTAACGTTATCACCCTAATTTAATACAACATAAACAATTACCGTAATAAGATAAAATAGTAATATCCATGGTGGCAACAAAACTAATTTATGAAACGTCACTTTATAAAACAATTGATGTATTTCAGCTTCCTGCCACATTTATATTTGTAGTTTCTCATCTTTCTGAAAATGTGGATAAAAGTCCCAACATGGCTGATTGTTGGACCTGAATTGTTGGAAAATGATCTCTCTAGCCTTTAATCTTTTATATTAGCGGTGACGTCTGAGGCTGTTTCTATGGAAACTCATTATGGGAGATAATGCAGATAACGTGGAGAGAAAGTATTATGTCGTTTATCAACCACATGATTCAACACGCTGTCATCATCATCATGTTATCAGGATCATTTATCGTATTTTTTCAACTTTGAACTACTCTTGTAATGTTGTCAGAAATACATGTTATACATATAGTAGATCTTTGTTTCTTTTGTAGTTAAAATAAGTGGTAACCCTTTTTTTTTTTGCGAATATAATTTACAAGAAAAAATATGTTCAACCCGTTCGCAGTACTCCACACTCACCTCCAGGCGGCGCTGTGCTGTCTTTGCAGTGTTGAGAAGAAGAACGGGAGCACTGATGAAATGAAAACATTAGAGATTTACGTCTAAAAAACTGGAGTTCCACTTTCATCTGGCTCAAGATGTGTAAGGAAACATGTATATTTTCATTAGTTTTTCACTGTTTCACGTTATGGAACTGCCAATGCCTTTTTGTTGAGAATAGCTTCATTGATGCTAACATTGCTTGCACTAGCTAGCCTCAGGGCTGCTCTTTAGCTGTAATTCTGTATATAAAGTTACTATTTAAGTAGTGTTCCGATTTATTACTGCGTGTTATACTATTTAAATAGGGTGTTTTCCTGCATAATGAGAGACAGAGATAGAAATAAGAATTATACCTGTCCTCTACCCTACCCCAGCCATCTTCTCTATACACTTTTGACTTCTATTATTACGATTATGGTATAGTATTGAACTAATGCTAAATTTTCCAGCTGTAGCCATGACCCAGACGTGCCCAGGTCTGTACTGTGGCAGGAGGATCATCAATGGATCACTGGATGAAGAGTGTGGAGTAAGTATTGTAACTCATGAGATAAGTTCTGTCCTGCTTTATTTTGACAAAGAGCTGTTTTGAAATGAGTAATCACAAATAACCCCTATTGTATAATGGTTTTTCAGGTTTGCCCCAGAGGTGAGCGGACTAACCTGCAAAAGTTCTGTGAGCGCTGCACAGAATATCCTGAACTCTACGACTGGCTCTACCTGGGTTTTATGGCTATGTTGCCTCTTGTGCTGCACTGGTTTTTCATAGAGTGGTATTCTGGAAAGAAAAGGTAAATGCAAATCATATAAAACTATGTGTATTTGTGTGTTGTTAGTTCAAGTATTGGAGGGGATACACGTGGAACAGAGGTCCAAAACCATTCCCATTTTTATCTGATACAATATAATATCATTGCAATATTGCTCTGACATATAAACACGTATATTTCAATACTATACTTCAGTTAGCATTTATATATGTACATTTTGAATTATTTTTAGAGTAAATAAAGTTAAAATGAACCTGTCAGTTTAACTTAATTCACTTTTCAAAAGAATCTCTAAACACAATAGGAACATAAATACAACATCCTTATACAGTTTTATCAGTGATGCCCTCAGTAGTCTGTTAGTTCTCTTACAAAAGCCTTCTGTCCCTCAGTTCTAGTGCTTTGCTGCAGCACATTACGGCCATGCTGGAGTGCAGTGTGTCGGCTGTGGTGACGCTCTTGGTCATGGAGCCTGTGGGGCTGCTCAGTATCCGCTCGTGCAGGGTCCAGATGCTGTCGGACTGGTACACCATGCTCTACAACCCCAGCCCCGACTACATCAACACTCTACACTGCACTCAAGAGGCAGTTTATCCCCTGTGAGTTCAACATAGCAGCCAGAAAAGCAAAACAAATGTTATTTTTTCTGTCGAAGAGGAAGGCTCTATTTAAATCAATTTCCGCAGCTTATATTGTTAAAATTGACAGTTTTTCTACAGGCTGAATGAGACAGCTGTGTATTCATACAGTAGATGTTGTCTCTTCTCAATTACTTTAAGGCAGCTAAAAGAATACCTATTTATCCTCTATTTACAATATATTTGATTTACCATAATATTGATTTAAGACTATAAACAAATGTTCTAAGATTGAATACTTAAAAAAACCCAAACATTCTAAGGTGAAGAGGTGTACCTCCGTGGCTCTGATCTCGTCGTCAAAGACCAGATCATATTTGTTTGTATTTTGACTGAGAGCAACAACACTGCGCACGTCTTGAGTGGAAAAATGCACTTAAGCACATTTTGGTTAGCGAGTGTCATTACCTGTGGTGTAATGCGGTTCGGGGCGCAGCGGACAAGATCTAGTTGCTACAAAAGGCGCCCGAGTGAAATGAATCCTGCGTGAGCCCCTTCGTTTGCCTTTTTGCAGCTTTGGGCTTACGGTCACTGCACATGGGGGTTGGAAGAAAGACAACCACATTTTTGAGCAATTTTGACTACCCAAATATTTATACTGAATTGTGTTTTATTTTTTTTGAGATGACGATTTTTATAAAATGAAACCACACAGTGCACCTCCAAGTGGCTTGTGTTGCCTGTATCATTGCTTTGTTTTTGTCTGGTTTTATAATCCTCTTTCTGTTCCTCAGATACACCATTGTGCTGATTTACTACGCCTTTTGTTTGGTGATGATGATGTTGCTGCGCCCGCTGCTGGTGAAGAAGATCGCCTGTGGTTTGGGAAAATCTGATCGATTCAGAAGCATCTACGCTGCACTTTACTTCTTCCCTATCCTCACAGTTCTCCAGGCCGTCGGGGCAGGTTTACTCTGTGAGTGTGGAAACTGGCTACATACATTTAGCCCTTTTTTATAATTATGTCTTATTCTTTGTCTTATTATCGGTAAATCATAATTTTCTATGTTACGTTCTCTTATAGAAACTCTTCCTTTTCCCTGACAGATTATGCTTTTCCATATATCATTCTTGTCCTCTCGCTGGTGACTCTGGCTGTCTACATGTCGGCCTCTGAAATTCAGGTAAGTGCAGTTTTGGTTTTCTTTCATAGCACAAACGGGATGGAACTTATGGATGTAATAAAATCTGTAACTAGGTCCAAAGCGGTTTTTATCACTAGTTCACAATTTTGTATTTTTGGCCTTTATCACATCATAGATCAGCTTTTTCAGATAGAGAAGTGAAAAAGAGAAGAGCACTCCCACTCTTTCTTACCAGTATCCAAAAGACAACATGGGTGCCCCAGCTTTAAGCTTTAACTGCAGTTTTTGGTGTTTAGTGTATATCAGAGGTGGCTAACTGGTCAGGTAGTAAGAGCCAAAATCTTCAGCACAGTGTATGAAATGTAAATTAAAAATAATCATATCTTGATTTATATGTGTTTTAGTTTTAGTTTAGTTTTGCCTTGAAAGAAATACAGCATAATAATTATACTGTGCATAAAGAAATGGATAGAACATCATCCATAAGTGGCATTGCAGTAAATACTTATGCATTAAATAGAATTTATGGTGATTATCTTTCCTGATTCCGTACAAACCATTTCATCCTAGAGCAGAGCTTCAGAATTTTGCGACTCTGTCACATCATTAGATTAGGTCCTAATAATTAGGCATATCCAAAGTCTGACCCTGTGGCTCTCGGTGTCAAAGACAGTAATAAGACACACAAACTCCTTCTTTAGTGAACAATGCAATGTCTGGAGCGGGTTGTTGGAGGTTAGTGTTGACAGCACCTGGACGCTCCCCTCTGGTCCCATACTCCTGCTGGTCTCTCTGGCCTGTGTCCATGCTGCTCCTCAGGCCTCCCCAGAGCTTTCAGAATGCAGATCACATATCACAGCGTCCTGCTCCTCCAGTCTCTTCTTCTGTCTTACGATGGTCTTCTCAGCAGAGGTGAGCTCCTGCCTCAGAGTGACCTTGTCAGACACAGCAGAGTTGAAGAGGATCCGCATCTCTCCAAAGTCTTTGGCCTCCTGCTGTAACTTTAGTTCTGTGGCTCTGAGCTGCTGCTTCAGCTGCTGCAGCTCTGAGACAAAGTCCTCAGGAGATGTTGGGCTGGACACGTCCTGCTGAGAGAGTCCCTCTGTGTCCATGGCCCTGGATTTAGATTAAGACAACCTTTATTCATCCCACAGTGGAGACATTTCAGTGTTGTATCATGGGTTAGAGAACAGTAGGAATGAGGAGCTCACAGCAAAAGATAAACAAACAATTACTCTATACTAAGGATGAAATCTCTAACTTTCGGTATATAATAGAAGCTAGTAAAGATTATCTTGCATAAAAAGGAAACAATTCAGAAATCTCCAACTTAAACATTAAGAAGCAAGAATGAAGTACCTGGAGACGTGTTGCTCTCTGGCAGAGCTCAGCTGCAGCTCCTGTATGGCTTTGGCCTGGTCTTGGATGCTCTTGCAATAAGACGCTTTGCTTTGTACAACAAGGCGGTGTATGACACGGCCTTGTTGTACAGGTAGCGGATATCCCCAAAGTCTTTGGTCAGCTCCCTAAAGCTGCTCTCTGTGGTTTGGAGCTTCCTCTTTGCCTCGTCTTTGCCTCCAGCAGTCGTCAGCACGTTGTTGCTGAGTTATTATCAGTAAATCCTGAAATAATATTTTTCAAAAAAGGCACAAAAGTCCAGCTTTAATGGAAAAAAGGAGAAGTTGAAGTAGAAACATGTATTTATTTGTCCAACAGTGGGGACATTTCAAAGTGCAGTGCAGAGGCACATACTGCATCACTGAAGAGAGTCATACTGGACAGCACATTATGTGAATCTAAATTTGTATTTGAATTAAATATTTTGCAAGTTGCAAGTTATACAGGATAATTTTCATCAAGCTCCAGGGGTTGGAAACCAAAGTAACATTTTGGATTATTGGATAAAGATGGTGATACTGATTTTATCTTTAAGCACAGTGTGCAAACTGTACCTTACAAATAAACATATCTTGAGTTACATAATAAATATGTAATAATACATTATTTTTTTGTTTTGAAAGCATTTATATGATCAAAAACATGTTTTCCTTAAATTAGATGAGTAACCGTTCATAGGACTTGGGTTATGAATCATATTTAGGGTGACGAGGAAGGGCTGAGAAAATTGTGTTTGTGGCAGGGACCTGAACACTTTGTTTTGTTTCAGTCTTTCAAGAGTCTGGGGGCCAAGAAGAAGCGGCTGGTGGTGCTGTTTAGCCACTGGTTGCTCCACGCTTACGGCATCATATCCATCTCTCGCCTGGACAAGCTGGAGCAGGACCTTCCCCTGCTGGTTCTGGTGCCTGGACCCGCCCTGTTTTACATCGCCACGGCCAAATTCACCGAGCCGAGCCGCATCCTTTCTGAAGGCGGCAGCGGACACTAAATATTGCTGCTAAATTTACCTTCACAATGCTGCTATTTTATTTTGTGTCAAATAATACGGATTGCATTATGTCTGCTCAGTTTTGAGCATAAGGTCGTTTATTTGTGCCATAAAAACCTGATCATCCAGTTGTTAATAATAGACCTCATAAAAGTGCATGCCACAGGATTATGTTGCACAACAAAGAAAGCATTTCCTCATAATAAAGTCACTGTAACCTCCCCGTTTTCCTTCCGCAAGTATAAAAACTGCTCTGCTCTTTAACCGTGATGTCATTTTACTGTTTTGAAATGTGAAGTGTTTTTTACAGCTGGCTGTATACACTTTCCTGTAAAAGCATTGATGAAATAATGTGTCTCTTTCATTAGCCGCAGGTTTCACACTTGTCCTATTGGACGAATGATTTGAAACCAACATATTTTGTGTCGCTAACTGAATTTATACCAAGCTGAATCAATAATGAGAGTTCTAATGTAGGGCAACGTCTTTTCTTAGCTTTTTTTATGTAAAACATCTGTACCAAACATTATTTATTCCTTGAACATGTTGTACAGTCAAATGTATCAGTAAAAGTGTAATCCTGTTTGGTGATGCAAATTTGGTCATGGTTGTGTAAATAAACTGTTTAAACGGCTTTGGGTCATTAAGAAATCATGCACATAAAAGGGTCCATAAAATTGACAATTTCAGCTTTTAACCAGTTGAGCTTCTCTCATTCATGAGTGGAAACAAAGTGGTGCATTTATAACTATAAATAAACATGTGCAACTCACTTAAGGCTTTATTTTTATTGATATTAAAACAATCAAGTTTATATTGTGCATAAATACACGTGTCATGTCAAGATGACCAATCCCTGCACGAGTCTCAGTAGTAACACATTCAAGCATTGTGTTCAGGTAAAGAAACCATTCAAAACAGATTATAACAGGAGCATGGCTCAGTGCAGTTTCTGGCAATGATTTATGTTCGACCTGGATCTTTTGTAATTACTTTAGTGATTTATAATTGTGCGATGGATGAGAGTAATATACCAAGCAGACATTCTTGTTTAATGTTAATTTTTGGTATTGGCAAAATAAAGTGTTGCAATTTCAAAGTCACATGTTGAAAACAGGGCTGGTGCTATGTGTGCTGGGTGCAACTCTGACTGCCATGGCCTGGACGCACCACACCATAGTACAAATTACATTTGCAGTGAAATGACGATTGAACGGAGTGTACGGATGCCTAAAGCCAGGCTATGACTACCACCCCCCGACCCAGAAATGGATTAAGGGGAAGAAGGGCTAGGCCAGGCCTCATCCAATGTAAGATAAAGATAAGACAAACTTAAAGTATGTCAAGGGTCTATCTGGTGACAACAGAATGCTTCTGGCATCATGCAGTGGCTTCACCGAGGCGTATAAATATAAATCCATGCAAAAGTCAATCTAATTTCAAGTCTTTGGACTGTTATAATCAAACCTGGCAACACACAGTTTCCTGCCTGTAAACAAAATGAACAGATGTCTTTCTTTGGGGTCGCAGACAAAAGCACAGGAAGAGAACAACCAAAAACAGCCCTGAATAGACTAAATTACTTTTTGGTTTGTCTTTCTTTGAGCCACTATGTTACAGACGTCCATAGAGTTTAAAGCTATGATGTGTGTTGTGTATAAACTATCAGAAGTCTTCAAACATACATTCTATTCAGACACACGCAATAAAACAAGGAGAGTAAACATGTAAAGGAGTCTGGAAACAAGTTAAATCAGCTCTGGTTTTATAAAAGTATCAAACAGGACTAAAGACTTATGAAGGAACTATAATGTCTGGAAAACAGATATGGGATCAGTATGGAGTTACCCCACTGACCATTGATCCAAACTAAAGCATGTCAACAGCAAAAAATTAGAAATATAAAATAAGAATAAAACATCTTGTAATTTAAGTAAGAAGTTTGATGATCAATAAGCAATCGCCCCAGTTACAATAATCTCCACACTGAAAACAAGGAATAGTACCCCTCCTTGTGCCAGCTCCATTCCGATTGTCCTGCCTGTGAAACACCAAACTGTTCATGTCTCTAGTCCTGGATGTAAATGATAATTATGCATAAAGTTCCCACAAGTCCGAGCGCTTGAATTCCCAAAAACCACAGCAGCATCCAAAAGACCACAATGACCACGGGTTCCACTATTTTGTCCCCAAAGTACATCTGGCTGAAGCCGACGCCGCGTAGACATTTGTTGATCATCCCAAACAGAGTCCCCATGCGCTCGCAGTCGTCCAGCTGGGGCTGCCTGGTCGTGGGGTCGTCCACCTCAGGCCACCGGGGCCCTTCCTGTGGAGCGGCCTGCCTCCTGGGCTCCTGTGAAGAGGACAGCACTGAGTTAGACAACTATTGATGTTAAAGGTCCCCATCTGACAAATCGTAAAGCTGGGGTCCCTAACTTTCAAACCACAGCAAATGGAACAATTATATAAAATGTATCTATCTGTATGACTAGTTCCTCTCCTGGCTCTCAAAACAGTTTGTTTCTCTCACAGTTTCCACACGCATGCATTTGTTGGATTTGTCACGCCTTTAGATCAGTCTTTACAGACACAAAAGTGACAAAGAGAGGACCACCCTCATTCAGCCAATCATCTTTTAGCCATAGTGACTCAAAGGGCTCTTTCTTATACAAAAGGTTAAATATATTGGTTTGATTTGGGACAACACACTTTCAATTGGGACAACACATTTATTATATTATTTCAAACATATTGCGTACCCAGCTTTAAGTGCCTTATTGGGTTTTTTAATGAAGGTTGATGTCATTTGCTTGTTTCCCTAAAGTTTATTCCATTACCAGTCAAAAACAATAGCCTATCTATTCTACACAAGAACCCAGTTGCATTTGCTGATATTGTATGTCGTTTTTGTATACAGAAGTATTGCAAACATTTTGATGCAACTTCACAAACTGTTCCAGAGTTTATCTAGTTATTTTCAAGTTAAAATGCTGCCAGAAATTATGTTGAAGCCATATGTTAATTGACTTATTTGTTGACTTGGCCTAAAATACATGTATATAATGAATAATGCATTTTCCCAAACTACTCGCTCACTCGTGTCTGACAGTTAAACTTGATGTTTTTACAGACACATAACGCTGCTTTCACATTTGCTTCACAATACAATTACCAAACACCCTAAGACTCTTGGCTCACCGAGATCACAGGTGTTGTGTCTTGTGGGATGTTGTAACATGAAATCCTCCTGTCAGCTAAAGAAGTGTTATGGTTTTAACTGGCATACTTGGCAATGATACAGGTAATACATATAACTAACATGCAATTAACATTCAGAGGTGCTTATGTACAGTCTAAAGTAAACATGAATATTTTTTCATTAGCTAATGTTAGTATTGGGGATAACACCAAGCAAGAAGCATTATCATGTTGTTTTGAGATTATGCAATGTTGATGCAGATTATTCCTGACATATTATTCAGAGTGATCGATGAACATATTTCTCTTCAATGGTGGGAGCTGATTTACAGGGAGAATGATTGACAAAAGTTGTTCAATAAATCAGTTGTTGAATGAGCTGCTTCATGTTTACAATGTGACTAAACTTGATAAAGAATGTAAAGCAAAGTTTGCAGAAGATGTGTGTCAACAAACTCACTCTGTTCTGGTTTGTGAATGTCTCAGGTTTGGAGAACAACCATTCTCTTTATGGCGATACCTTTGAACCATAGACTAATGTGATGGACACAAGCAGCTGCTGCCTAGATAAGTTCAAGCTACTTGTAGTATTGTCAAATCAGTCAGTTTATATTTCTATTTAAAAGTCGAAATTAGTTTGCGTTTCTTTTGAATTAATTTTCATATTAGGGGGCCACATCGAGCTATTAATGATTACATGTGTTTTTGTCAGATTTAAACTGAAATCCTCGTATCTATGACAAACAAAAATCAATAGTTGCAATACATAGATGTGTTTGTATTTTTGCTGTCAAAGCTTAACATTGTCAATTAAACTAAAGTAAAAGTTTGATAGTCAGTTGCCAAGTGAATGCATTACAGACGCTTTAAAGTTTGACTGTAGAGGGTTCAATGTGGATAAATATGACTTAATTCTGCTGTTTCTTTTCGGACTTGAAATAGATGAATGGAAACATTGCTTTAGCTTCTTTTGCTCATCCTGTTGTATTGGATCAGTCGTTTCGTGGTTTCAATATAATCGAAATCGCAATAAATGTCCATAAAAAATATGGACAGGTGACAGGTTTGCACAACATAATTACTGAATAGTTAGACTTTTAGAATGAACTAAATGACGTTTAGCTAGCTAGCTAAAGGATGACTTTTGACCATAACATAGCAGCCATAGCAACGATAGTAACTGACAGTTTATTCAATAACTGATATCAGACCATGTTCATTAATACAGAGGGTGACACAAATATGATACATATTTCCATTTGCTTGATCTAAAAATAAAAGTAAAGTTAAAAGTAGTTTGTCGTTACCCGGTCCGCAGTGTGGGGAGTACGGGGAGGACGAGCCGCTGAGTCTGCCGTCTGCCATCGCCCTGTGTCTCCCGTGAGGAAATCACGGTTCCGCTGGAGGACGTGCTGTTCGTTCAGAGACGGAGTGACAGCGGACATGTTGAGCCCTGTCCGCCAGTGGTGACTTGGAGAAATACTAAAGAAAACATGCGAAACTAGCGGGATATGTTTGACAGTGTTTCCCGTACAGTACTGAGGAGGCGGCTCCAATCTGAGGATTATTCTGTACGGGGTGCCAGATCGAATACATTCTCCAGCCTGAGAGCGTCACCACGCCACGCGGTCATAACAGATCATGTGTTTACGATGGTTATATCAAGACGTCAAATAGCTAAAAAAAACTATGCAGAACAAAGATTTTAAAACGTGTAAGACTAAAACAACTGAATGCAGCTGACTGTCGCAAAATATTGCTTTTTTTACACTTAGAAAAAATATTAAAGGTTGCCAAATAGAAATTGTTTACAACAACAACACATTTCAAATAATTTATGGAGCTGCGAAACTTACTGTTTGTGGAACCATAAGTGCTTCCACAAATATAATACATAATAATATACAATACATAATAATTTACACAAATGTACTTTTTCGGTTTAGCAATAATTTCAATTTCTGTTGAGGGAGGATACTTTGTACTTTTGAATTAAAAAGGAATAATTTAATTGTTTAAAATTCTCTTTAAAAATAAGTAACTATAAAAATCTGTGTGCAATCTGTGTGCAATCTCTTCTCTTATCTATGTTTGGTGGGTAAGTGTTAAGAAGCCACAATTGCAGTAGTTTGCCCCAGGGCAGTTGTAGCTACCATCACCATTGAATGAATTTCACAAATGTATTTGGCTTTATGTTTGTGAAAATGTATAAATCATGAATGATCGCATTTTAGTAGATCCCTTTAATGGTTTCCTCAACCATTGGATAGACCTGATTTTGAGTCACTATCTACTTGGAACAAGGTTTGAATTGAATACCTCATTGGGGCATCTTTACCACTTGGTTGAAATATATTATGTTCAAAACATCTTCCTGAGGTCAATGGTTTTTTTTCACAGTAGCACTTTGTATTCCTCTTTCTGTGAGCAAAATTTAAAGTTAAAAAACATTCATTTTGTGTGGCCTATTTTTGGGTGCAATTTCAATATTCTTATCTTCAACATTTTATATTGACCAATAGATGACGAAACAATAATATGTAACTTTATGCAACAAAAAAAGGTGATTGTGAGGGTCAAATAATCTTTTGAAAACATGCGTGACCATTTGGTTGAGTAGACACTTCATAGTAAATTTAGCAAAATCTGGTGAATTTATAATAAATATATTAAAAATAACCACAAAGATACATGTGAAAGACAGGCATTGTTGTTAATTTGTTTAATTAAAGTGTTATTCCAATAAGATTGTTGATATTAATTATTTATTTATTGATTGGCATAAAGAGCATGTGCCAATGCTCTTTATGGCCCAAACCATAGCTGAAGATAAAAAACTCTGTAGCCTCTCAAGATGGAAATGTAGAAAGTGCAATGTTTTCCTGTTTTTGATCACAAAGAATGATTTGTTGCATACCATAAAATAAATTGGCCAATTCCAAGGGTACCAAGATTGTCATTTGGGACATTTTTAGTCGTTTTTAATTTTTGTATTTTTATGTTGACCCAATAATTAATCTGAGATAAGGCATGCAACACCTGGGTGCTGTTTGTTGCAATTGTTGGAATATGAAGGAAAAAAATCCGTTATATGTAACCGTTTCCATTTAAAATGTGGTTATTTTTAAGATAAAATGGAAGCAAAAGACATATTTTCAATCAAAAATACTTCACATGAGTGAATTTCTAGCATTGTTTAATTTTCTGCTTTCGTTTTTTATTTGTAGATATAAAATTAGAATTTTTTTGCTATAACACATGTTTAACTATTGGCATGTTTAAGGGGTGACAGTGGCTCAGTTGTCCTGAAGGTTGTGGGTTCGAGCCAACCATGAAACACCTTCTACACCGACTTCCACTGATATCTGCTGTTGTTGTGTCCTTGGGCAAGACACTTAACCCCACTTTGTCTGAAGCCCCCGCTCAGAGACCAAGACATAGAGTAGCCGTCATCCTGTGGACTCACCACCTGCAGGAGGGATCAGACAGGGGCTGGAGCTGTGTGTACTGGGTTGCATCTCTGGCCACCCCCTGACCCAGCAATGGATAAAGGGGTAGAATATGGATGGATGGATGGATATTCATGTTTACCATCCACCTGCATCTCAACCATTTGCTATAGGTCTATAATTTAAAAAAAACCTACACGTTCCACACAAAAAATAGAAACACTTTTACATAGCTTTTTTCAAGGATTGAACATTAAAGGGATTTACATACATAACTATTCTGCCAGTTTTTTTGTTTCCATTGCGTGTTTATTAAATTACTCCACATATTTCCAGTTAAAATTTGTGCTTTTATAATTCGTCTCCTTATTTCTAAATGAGTTTCATGCATGACTAAATATTTAGTTCCATGTAGGCCTGATGGTCTGAATCCTCTGGCGGTCTGTTACGCAGTCTGCCTCTGGGGGCGCTGTCTCCGCTCGGCTCGCTTTGTTTTCGCTCATGCTCCTCTTCGCTTCAAAGCAGAGGAAAGTCTCCGTGTGTGTCAACATCAGCCATCCCCGGGGACACGACGCTTTAACCCGAGCCAAAAACACCATCACCCTTTTATACAACTCTCTTTTCACCAAGTCATCCCCGGACACATCGGTCCACATCGCCGAGAAGCCGAGGAAAGCGCCTTTGCTGAGGCCAGCTCGGAGTTTAGCTAACGATTGAAAGCATGACATAGTACAAAGTGGAAAATTTACAGTCTCCCAATTAATACAACATATCTGGAGACCTGTTAGCTTAGCCGTGTTAGCATTGTATTTCAGTCCGACCGGAGGATAAAGGAAGATTTAGCCTGCTGACATGATGTTTCCTCAATCCAGACACTCGGTAAGTTTTGTTTAACGGGATGAAGTTACGTCTCTGTGTCAAAGTTAGCATTGAGCCGCGCTAAGCTAACAGGCTAACTACACTCACAGACAGACAGCTGATAGCGGCTATAGCTGTCAGCCGATCCATGCTATTCTAATGCATTTGCACCTCGCCTCTGAGCATTAGCACGTTAGCAAGGCGCATTATAACCAACCCTCGATGTGCTTGTGGTGCTAATGTGTGGCTACGAATCTCCCAGGAATCGGCTTGCAAGCTTTTTCTTGACTAGGTGATTGAAGATCCCATTTTGTGGCCTCAAGAAGAAAGTGCACGCTGCTGATTTTTTTTCCTTTGTTGTCATCTGTGGTCATTTTTCAGGCTCGAGGGATTTGGTTTGCTGTATGCTCATCAATTAAACATGTTTACATGATTATAAATGGGATGTGAAAATATGTGTCAGGCCTACAGCGATCCACAGGCTGTTAAACCATGGAATGGTTTTGGATTTCGTTGTTCTGAATTTGGCTCAAATATAGTTGGTAAGTTTAAAGCAAACGTGACGGCAATGCAAAATAGACATAATGATTATATAGAATACAAAAAATTAATACAATAAATAATAGCAAATTCTAACTTATAACGACATTGAAGAAACAATTACCATCAGACATGAACACGTCTTCGACCTGCCAAATCCTTTGTCTCTTTGTAATATTACTTTCAAACCTTTTTTATATGTTGAGAATACATTGCCCTCCAGTGAGGGGGCATTACCAGAGCAGAAATGCATTCTATATACTTAAACAGCTTAGAGTGACCGATTTGATTATGCACAGGTGCAGTTTACTCTTTAGTTGACCATTAAATGTAATATGTTAACTAAATAGACATTGGTCCGTGATAAGATATTGCAAAAGTTGTATAGCTTAAGATTAGCGGAGTACATTACAAATTATTTTTTACTAGTGCTCCCTGAATTTTTTCCATGAAGCAGGGTTATTACCAAACACCTTTTTGAGAGAAGCCAGTGGTGAAACCTCTACCCAAAAAAAGTTAGATTGCAGCTATGCTTTCAGCCTAGACGAGAACATCAATCACTGTTTATTTAAAGTTTAATGCAGCAAATAAATAGACTAATTGTTTCAGAGTAGACACCAAATTTTGACCTTTGCGCTCCCATAATCCTACTGGAAACCACTAGTCCTCGTGCCATTTATTTAGACCTTAATAAGGTTTAGAGCACAAGATAAATCCAGGATTACTGATGAGGCCAGTGGTTTAAGTGTTGTCTCAGTCTGGCTGCACTTTACCGGACTTGGATCACATATGGTATGCATGGGTACACTTAATCTTCTATAAACACTTTCCTCAAAGAGCTCACAACAACTGCCACCAATCAATTTGCCCCCAACATCTGTCCAAGAAAAGTCAATGTACTGTACAGTTTATTATTACTTAGCTTAAGAAAAACTAATTTAGTCTTAGAGTTGCATTTGTGTTTTCCAGTTGGCTCAACTCTGTACTATGCTGACTTCTCTTAGGGTTAAGTTTTTGGGTCAAGATTAACCCTAATTTTGTTTGTAAACGAACAATCATTAAAAGAAGCCTAGACAAGGGTGTCTGTACTAAGAGAAACATGTATAATAGGAATGAATATAAGGAGCGAGTGAACGGACAGTGAGGGTCTGAGGCGTCGATGCGGTAATGTGTCTCTGGTCACTGTGTGTTGAGAGTATGGAAATTAGTGGTACAACAAGAAGTGTAATGCGCTTTGTGTAACCTTGGTCTATGAAAATGCACAATATAAATAAAGATTATTTATTAAAGATTATTAGAAACTGATTTTGCCCCACTCAGCCAGCATCCAATTTGGTTAAACTTCACCCAATATAGAATTCTCTTGTATTATATCTATATTTGATCAATATTAAAAAAAAATACAAAGGGTGGAGGACACTCACAAGCACGTAATAAACCAAGTGTGCAAAATGTGATTTGAAGAAAAGAATATTGAGGAGCACAGCGCTGTCTCTCCTGACAGTTCCTAATGTCACAGTCATCACAATGTTTCAGACTGGGCCCCTTACTCTGGCCAACTGTAAAGTCTGCAGAAGATTATGCCAACGTTCACCCAAAGCAGAGATCTTAAACACAAGTTCACACTGTCACCCAGCCAACTTCAGCTCTGCTTATATCTACATGCCATATCGTTTCAAAGCTTAACCCTTGTGCTTTCCTGGGGTCAAATTGACCTGTTACAGTGACCTAAAATTACCTGAAACAAAAGAAATGTCAGATGAATTTTGATGTTTTTTTTTCTTTACTAAACCAGCCCTGGGTCATTTAAAGGCACACCGCGGACTTTGTGACCTAAAGAGTTGACACATATGAGTTATTTTATATGAATACTTGGGCCAATATACAGCGCTTGACACTTGCAATGCTCCGAGCGGGGCTGCCCTCTTGAAATACCGCCCATGTAAGTTTCGAGCAGACGGACCGTCTGCCACCAGGTCACGTGACTTGGAAGAAAGACTTGCTTTACGGCTACAGGCGCTGATATACTCATGGAGCTAAGGCTTTTGCTACTCATTTTTCACCTGCTCGACTCCTGGTCATGGCTGAGGCAAGGAAAAATTTTAAACCTTCGGAGGAGGCTAAAAAGAGGAAACGCGAAAGGGATCGTGCTGTAAGCTGCATGTCTGTATGAGCGCTGCTCTTCACCTGGTTCCTGGATGTCATCGACCGCAAAGATGTCATTCCACGCAGCACGAGCTAGACGCAGAACTCCCTCATCCAGGATATAGAAGTCCATGTGTGGTAGATTACTAATGCAGCGGTCTGGAGGCTGACCACAGCAGAGTCTCTCAATATCTGTAGGCATGTCTCTACAGTTTGAACACACACACCAGTGCATGCTGTCTGAATACACACTCAAAAGACACCGGCTGACTGTTTGACTTTTGCGACAGTGCTGAGTTGCTTGTGGCCACTAGGGGCGCTAAACGTGAAAGTTGCAGGTCTAGCGCCCCTAGTGGCCAAGAGTTACACGGTGTGCCTTTAAGCCCCTTTAGACCCTAGTCTAAATTTAGGTCTACGTTTAATAACTGTGGTGGGTCATTTGACCCGAGGGTAACCTCTAGAATGTAGTATTTAGTAGCATTGTTTGTTAGCACATTTGGCTTATAATCTTTGAGCTAACAAACAGTTAAAACAAGATAAACATGATCATTTATGAGTAAAACATTCTAACATGTTGGTAATCAACAGAGCAGAATCTCAAACGTTTGTAACACATCTTACAAAACTAATAGTGCAAACCAAATACCCGTAGTACGTAGTTTACTTACTGGTCCACTTTGGTAATTATGCTTTATTTGAGGAGATGTGAAGGCACCAAACAAGTGCCGGTCCTCTACATTGTAAGAAATGCCTTAGGTCGCTTTACTGTTGAATGTGTGGATGAGTTTGACACGAGGTGTAATAAGAAGAAGCCACTAATGATGGCGTTGGTCCGCAGGCGTCTTCGCAGTCAGGCCAAGCTCTGAAGTTCACCACGTCCGACTCCTGCGACCGCATCAAGGACGAGTTCCAGTTCCTCCAGGCTCAATACCACAGGTAACACCAACACCTTCCACCTCTGATGGTGAAAACACTGATTAGCCATGTTTCTAAAAATGTCTTTCCTCGTCAATATCTGCAGTTTGAAGTTGGAGTGCGACAAATTAGCTTCAGAAAAGTCAGAGATGCAGCGTCACTATATCATGGTAGGGATTGTCTATTACCACCTTTTTATCATATTTTCATTACACTGACAAGTTGCATTACGCTGTGACCATTCTACGCATTCATTCTGTCTTTTGTATTTTCTAGTATTATGAAATGTCCTATGGCCTAAACATTGAAATGCACAAACAGGTAAGCTTGATTTTGTCTTGTTTGTTTTTTTCATTTTTCATCAACAAACACTTATTTATATTTTCAAATTCGTTGTTGCAGGCTGAAATAGTCAAAAGACTGAACGGGATCTGTGCTCAGGTGCTGCCGTATCTGTCACAGGAGGTAAAAGACACTACACCTCTTATTCTTATTTTACTTTGTAAATCCTTTTTGATGATGATTTTGTTTTAAAATTTAAACGTAAGGTTAAACTTGTTTTGTGTTGTATTTCAGCACCAGCAGCAGGTCATGGGGGCCATTGAGAGGGCCAAACAGGTCACACCGCCAGAGATGAATTCTATCATTAGGGTGAGTTCTTTAGACACACTTCTGTTAGCGGACATGTCCATATGAAGCTTATGCACGATGAGTACGGTATGACTAATTGTGTGGTCATCTCAACACACACTGCTCTAGCATCGGTTTGATGATCCACCTCTTGAACACTGAATTTGATTTTGTTTGCATCTGCTACTCCCCTTACACAGGCTCCCCCCACCTTGTCTTTAGTTAAATGAGTAAATCAGAATAATTGTCCACCCCTGCAACAATCCTGATTCAGGAGATGTTTCAAAAAAACTGGTCAAGTGTTTTCTTTTTACAAAAATGCACTATTTAATTTAACGTTGAAAATTATTTGATGCACAAATAGTTGCTATTGAATAAACTTGTGTATTTCCTTATTTCCTCAGAAGACATTACATTTTGACACTGCTTCTTAGTCGACAGATCGACCCATGGGGCTTAACTTTAATTGATTAAACGACAGCATTATTGTTCAGTTTTTGGTCTGATAGAGACTCGCCCTGATAACCAGCAACCAGTAATGATAATATTGATATTAATGATACTAATCCTACTCAGTCTGGACATGACCACAGATCAAGGGGCATTATACTGTGGTTATATCAAACACAAGGGTGTGGTTAAGTCATTAAAATCAGATTATCCGCATTTTAGAGCACTGTGTACAAATCCAGGGTGCTGCAGCTCTTTGTTAGTTACTACTAACGACACGCCATTATACGCAGTCTGCAAGGGCCAAACTCTAGACAGTGTTTTCTCTAATAATCTACTACTATACTATTCTAATACTTCAGTTTATTCATCTAAAACCCATGTGTAATTGCATTAAAAACATAGCTGCACCAGATTTCACACAATTTTAATTTTTGTCCATCACAAAAGATACACTAACATCAATGATATTGTACTTAAATATTTATTTTCACATGTATTCTTAGTTAATCTGTAACACCTCCTGAGGGACACACTTTCCTTCAAATACACTTATCCTAAAATACAAGCGTTAAGACTGGTCTACTGAGATGACATTTATCGTTATCCTTTTCAGTTAATTCACATCAGTTGACTAACCAAATATGTTATTATTGTGTACCTGTTGAGTCTCATCCTTAAGTATTTTATAGAGAAGCTTGTAGGAAAGGAAAACTTGGTGTTTCAGTTCTCACAAGCTCTTGGCCTAGTCTTTTAAAATATTTACAGTCAGGTCCATAAATATTGGGACCTGGATACTGGAACAAAAACAGCACCTAATAGAGACTGTTGGACGAAGACGACCTCTGCATGTTTTGCTCTGTGTAAATGTAAAGTCTCACTCCTTCACCGTGTGGTTTACAGCAACAGCTTCAGGTGCAGCACTTGTCCCAGCTGCAGGGCCTGGCTCTCCCCGTGGCCCCGCTGCCCCTGGGCCTGACTCCTCCCTCCATGCCCCCCACCTCCAGCGCCGGCCTGCTCTCCCTCTCCTCCATCCTCGCCAACTACTCCCACGGCGCGTCCCAGCAGGGGAAGGACGACAAGGGCAGGGACTCCGCCGAGAGGCCCCAGCGCGCCGAGGACGGGGACAAGTCTGACTAATGCCATGAGTACACGCAGGAGAGCCGCCGTCCTGAGTCGGGATGTCAGGGTGTCACATTTTAGCATTCAAATTCTTATGCGTTTTGCCACAATAACCTCAAACAAACCAAAACGAATCACTTTGTTCTTAAGTAGGAATGGGATGACCACCATGAGCAGTATTAAAAGGCTGCTGTATCAATGCTGTGAGAATGGCCTTTCTGACAGCTTTGATGGAGCTCATTCCTTTCACTTATTTTGTTTTTACTTTCAAAGACTTTTTATGGTCTAGAGTTCACAAAATATATTTCATTTTGCGCCACAAAAAAGCTGCGAAGTGCACACCCACCTCATGGTTCTGGAGGTAAAATAAATACATTTTTCTCATTGGAATTTGGGAAAGACATGATACACGTTTGAAAGCTTGATCAGTTATGAGTAATGACCACAAGACCGGCCTTTTTAGTGAAAGAATATTTTCGAAACTTTAATAAATCCCTAAATTATGAACATATTTTACCAAATTAAATGTTTTGAGGGACTGAATACCATGCTATTGAGCCTCTGTTGTTTCTTCAAACTCCAATGGGGATTTTGAATGAGAACTTTACCTTCAGAACCAGAGCGGACGGCCCATCAGGCTGAACATCGCAGCTCCACAGTCTTCATGGTATTTGAAATCTATCATGGTCCCATCCCTACTCCCAGCCAATGGTACTGGTAGCACTTGTGATATGGACCTTTTCAGTAGTGAGGACTTAAGACCTGAGAAAGTCCTCACTTGGGTCTGTCCTGTTGTGGCGCAGGCTTAGTGCTGCCCTATAGTTCCAATTACGACCAAGTTTAGACCTCCTTTCCAAATTTAAAGTAAAATTTGACCTTGTTTTGTTGTGCAAGGCGCAAAACATCAGTGTCTAACAGTTTAATAAATGTATCTTTCTAATTTGGACTGTAAATGGCTATTGACAGGAATGTCCCTTGCAAATCGATTTTCAAGTTTGAAGTCGGTCTTATCTCGCAGTAGCACAACTTGGTACCATCGAAAAATTGTAAAATGGCTAAATCCTGACATCCCCAGTCTGGACAAAGTGAGGCATTCTGGGTAATATGAGTTCTTTGCAGACCAAACGTCCTCCTGAGGCAGGTTATAGTGACGACAGGGTGGAGCGGACTGAATGAGAAGTCCTTTTGGATCCAAAAAAAGGATTGAGTGTGTTTTTATTTTGTTCTTTAGAATCAGTTCGAGCTTTTAGACTTTAAATAGTGCATTTTTTTTTTGATTTTTTTTTTTTAATAAATCCAGATGAAGTACAAAGCAGTCCATCTACACGCCCTGTTTTCTATACATTGTCTTTTTGTCCTGATCAGACAGCTCCTTCTGTCGTTTGAAATTGCCAAGTCAGTTTAGTTAGCTTATCCTATTATTGATAATTTAAGTATTTTATGAAAAGGCATTTTGTGACATTATCTCCTTCAGAGGTGTCATGAAATGCGTTGCCATTAAAACTCATTGAACTCTGGCATCACAAGCAGCATCCCCGTTTGAAGATGCTGCTTGAAGTCAGACACTGATTAAAGTAAATTGTTTTTAATTTTTTTGTTAAATTCCCCTTCACCCCTGCCCGCCCCCTCCCACGAACCCCGTCAGAACGACCAAATTCACCTAAAAGCGCACTGTACCTCTGTAGTAGTTGCATTACACTGTATCAAGCTTTCATTTTTGCTTTCATTATCAATTGTTTTATTACAAACAACATGATGCATTTTGAATTCCATACAATATTATCAATTATATGCAACATCCAATGACTATACATTGAAATGGCTGTAATGGCACAGATGATCAAATAAGAAAACAAAAAGATGATCTGAAGATAGTTTTAAAGCATTGACCAAGCTGTAATATTTTAAGGATGCGTTCACACTGTTGTTTAGCATTAATTTGGCTTTCAAATGATCAAGAGTTTCTCCAGTGTCCGACCCCCTTTTGTAATTGCCAACTCCATTTTATCTACATATTTTAACATTTGAATGATTAAAAATTAAAAAGCTTCTCGATTTTTTTGAATTCTATTTTCTCTTTTTTTTGTTCGCTTCTTTGCGACAGTAGGGGGCAGCAGTGTTTTGACCTAAAAAGTAATTTGACATCACTTTTGAGCACCATCTGAAGAGCACATGGCTAATCTTTTTATGATCATTTCAAAGGCACTTAAGTTAGTTCCCTCTTTTCTTTTCCCCTCAGACAGCGTGTTTTATTGCATCAAGGGCCAACTTGTATCCATATAACTAATCAATATACATATTTTTAAAGCATTTTTGTATGTTTCAAAGCTGCTTTTTACATGTGTGTCTCCAATGGACAAGTTTTGTGTTGTGCGTATGCGTGCGTGAGTGCAGCCTACATTAACAAAGGCACAATGTCGTAAACCATGTCATTTTTGGCTGTTTTTTCACATTCTCAATCACTTAGCATGTTTTTTTCTTTTGGGTTTGTATGTGTTAAATCCTTTTTGTGCAGAAAATTACTGTCTCAAGTATGTGGGACAGAAAGATGTAAACGACCAACTGTGTACTACTCTATTCAGAATGGATCAACATTTAATAGCAGTAAGGAAGCTTCTCTGGTGCCTTACAAATAAATGATGTGATTGAGAGAAGTCTGTTTTTTTTATTTTCATAGCATTCTTACACTGACACATGGATTGAATGTAGAATGTAGACAAGCATTTGAGTTTGATTAAAGTATATTTCATACTCTAGACTGAAGAATGGGGAAAGGGTGTGCAAACAGACAAAGTATATTGGTTAATATTGACTCATTTTAAACAGGATTTTAAGTTATTATGTTTTAAGTAAGTTTGCATTTATTGACTACAGGGGAAAAAATTCAATATTGTACTATAGCTTGGTGCCAGACCAAAACGAGCTTTAAAAGTGATCAGTTCAATCTTTAAATCAGTTCTGAAACACATGGAGCCAGTGGAGGGGAATGGGGAATATACACATAAATAGGATAATGTTGGACTTGGACATAGACAAACCTTCTGCAGCTCTGTTTTTATCTTGTTATCATCCCCAAAGTAAGTTAAAAAGTACAGATATTTGGGTCATTGTTGTCAATCTAAAATGGTCCCATCCCTATTCTTTGCCGCTGACGGACCTCTTCACTAGTGAGGACCCTAGGACCAGAGAAAGTCCTCACTTGGGTCTGTGCTGTTGTGGTGCAGGCTTATATAGCTGCTCTATAGTTCCAACAAAGACCTTGTTTGGTTGTGAAAACATCAAAAATAGTCAAGTAAGGAAGATTTACCATGGAAAACTCCAGCTTGTCTCCTTGTTTGGCCTTTCTCCTATAGAACCAAGAACAAACTTGACATTGTAACGGTTGAATGCATAGGAGGAAGGAAGATAAAGCAAACAAGATATGTGTTACAGTTGGCTGTGTGTAATATCGCACCATTATGAATTCTATGTTCATCAGAAGCATACTTTCAATTAATCAGATCAGTCCTTTTAAAATCTGGATTTCTTTTAAAAGACAGGAGTTTGTGGATTATTTAATACCTTTTCTTTCCAATTACAATACATTAAATCCAATTACTAATAATCCCATGTGACCAAATACTAATTTTGAAGAAACTTTGGTATTGAGGGTAATATAGTTTACCAATGGACTACTAAGTGCACTTGAACTCTGGCACCAGCAAATAACTTAAACATGTATTTTTAGCTTGTTACTTTGTAGGAAAGCCATTATTCTGAAGGACGCCGATGTGACCTCATTGTCACAAACCCGAAACAAAAATGTTACTCAATAGAAAGACTTAACAATAGCTTTTGTCTCTCCAAATAAAACCGTCTGGCACTGCGTAAATGAGTGTTTTTCCAAAGTGATTGATGTGACATGTTAAAAGAAAAGACCTCACTGAATTCAACTGTCAATACAAAAGTTGTGAACAAAACTCTCCCAAAGTCACTCCACTCATAAAGCACTAATACAGAGACAAACATTCCCATCCATCTTAACTGCACTTTTACAAATATTCGAAAGCCATTAGGTGGAGCGCCTCTGACAGGACATGGTGCAGAATTTTGCTCAAACCAGCCTGGAATCCTCATGGGGCAAGTCTAGACACAGCATTTGACAGCATCCAGAGGAGAAAACAGGAGACACAACCAGCTCCCCATTGAATCAAAAGTGTCAGTGTAAATATCTTCTGGCAGGTCTATAGAAGAGGTGCACAGGTACATTGTATGGGTATGTCCTCCTCTAATTACTCACAGCAGATTGGTGTCATCAGGAGACTCATTTAAACACAATTTAAACAGTCATTGTGGTTTGATTGCAGGCAGAGATCACACAATGACTCAAAGTAGAAAGGCCTGTTGTGAAGTAAAACCATAAAGCAGAGGTGTCGAACATTCAGGCCGCAGGCAGGATGTGGGTCCTGAGAAAATGTTGAATTATTCTCATACTTGAGGTTCATACTTGCAGCATGAAAGCTATATATCTACAGAAAGAAGGATGGTGTAAATTAATTATTTAAAAAAACAAGACCTAAACGTAAAGGGATTTCAATCATATTTTAAGAGCTATTATATTAGCCTTGAGGCCTTTCCTGTTCAGAATGAGTAAACTTGATAATTAATGTGCTGATGATTCATATATATCAAACCTTTCTTGCTCAAGCCATCGCTAGTCACTCTAAAACATTGTCAAGTTCTCCATCGTGAGATCAATAAAGTTTATCATTGATTTGTAATTTTAAATAATTCCTTATGCATTATTTTTGCTCATTCAAAATCATATTGAGACTGTTAACGTTGTCATTTCATGTTTTGGAATGTGAAATAATATCGTGTTGAAAATACTAGTGTAGTGGTAGTGTTACATGTGTGGGAAGTTCTTCATATTAGCATGGATAGGTCTAAAAACAACTCCAGATCTGTTTTGATGATGAAACAACTTTGTAACATGATTAATACATCTTCTCAAAAGAAACTACATTTGTGTTAAATGTCATTCTATTGTGTGAAAGATTTTATATTTTTTATTATCACTGTGAAGCGCCATAAACACATGCTTCTTTTTAGCATAGCTGTTTCATAGTTAGCATAGCACAGTTAGCATAGCGCAGTTAGCATAGCGCAGTTAGCATAGCGCAGTTAGCATAGCGCAGTTAGCATAGCACAGAAAAACATAGTAAGGCATGTTATTTCCCATGTAGCTGTAAAATATGTTGTTTATTTTGTTACAAAATGTGACGACAACATGAAAAACCATTAACAATAACACATTCTGGAGTATATTTATGTGAGGAGTTGTTAAATAACTAGACTGTAGCACAAAAATCCACATAGAGCCATTTGCTATTAAAATCACAAGATGAACAAACACAAAACATGTATTGAAAAGTCGGTTAACTTCACAGATAATGGTACATTCTTTTTTTTTTTAAAGTCACAATTCAGGATAAAGTAGGTATAAACGCGCCTTAACATTTACTATAAGGAAGATATGGCAAAAGCAAATGTCTATACTCAAAAATCGGCATCTGTAATGTACATAAAGACAATGACGAGTGGACACTTTTGGCAAGATATTAATATACTGATCCAGTGTAGGTAAATTAATAGCAGTAATAATATTGAAAACAAAACACAGGTGAAGTATTTATAATAATTGCAGTCTACAAAAAACACAACAAATATAAAATTGCACAGTGTCAACAATAGACATTAAAATCACATATGTTTGGCTTCGCTCACGCCCACACAGAAATACGCAGGAGTAGCTTCTGTTGCGGCAGGCCTGGCTGTAAAAGCGGTTGTGAAATCTTCGCCCCAGCACGAGCAAGGTCCCGCCGCAGTGGTTATATAGACATGTCCCAGCACCATGTGTGGTAGAGCTGGGGACAAGGCTGGGTACTTTTTGTTGGGTTGAGTCCTGGTCTTGAGTGTCTTGTAAAAGGTTTAGTCTGACTTTAGTCCTGTTTTAATGAGCTGATTTACTAACAAATATTTCCTTTCTTATCCTTCCTGGTCTTTCTTGGTGCGTCCTTGTCCTTGCCTCTGCTGTTTATTGACCTTTATGGGATCACGTTTTTACCAAAATGTCATTGAAAACATGTTTTAGAGGTGTGACCAAACGAGGAAGGACTTGACCAAACAAGGAAGGACTAGAAAGGATAGGAATGCAGGTATTTTATTCTGAATTTGTATGAAGCCACTTTGTCAAACCGGTTCCTGTGGGGGCTGGTGTGGCTGCAGGTTTTAGTTCCAATCCAAGCAGGAGCACACCAGACTCCATCCATTTCCTCAAATCTTCAGGTTAAAACTGGACTCACCTGAGGATTTGGGTGGAGTCTGGTGTGACCCTGCTCGGTTGGAACTGAAATCTGCAGCCACAGCGGCTGTTTGAGGACCGGTTTGACACCTATGCTCCAAGTCCTGATTTAGGGCTGGTTCTTGTTAAGTCCTGGTTTACTTCTGGTTTACTTCTGGCTTCATTGGTTTGACGAGGGCTTCGAATCCATTCATTTTGTCCATCCATCAATTTGTGTCTCCCATACAGATTAAAACATACATTTTTTCCTTGTTTGTGCTTATCTACGATCTATCCAATTAGATTATTTGTAATTTTTTATTGAGAATATTAGACATAGTAGTAACAGTATTGGTGTCAGCCCGGGTTTAGCACAGTCTGATCATATAATCCCGGTTTGGTCTTGGTTCAGTTCAGATATTAAATAGAATACTGCAGCGCGGCCTTTGCAACTCTCGGGGTGATGGCGATGATGAAGCAGGAGTTCATACGGGGCCAGAGTAGTTATAGTGGTTTCCGTGTTGAGAGTCCGGAGGAGGAGGAGTGGCTTTTCTGTCCAAATGTTCCACTTCGGGTACGTTGGCCTCAGTGCACAGAGGAGGCCGCTGCTTGAAGAAGTCGGACACGTATCGCACCTGAAAGAAGAGACAGAAGATGCAAAAAAGTCAGGTACTTCCAAATGTCCACTACAGGCACGTATAGTCTGCATTCATGTGATATCATAACTTTACACATGGCCTATAGTTTTTAATTGTTGTGAAAGGTAATTGAAAATTGAAAAAATTGAAAAATTGTAAAACTTTATACAGGTAATTTCTCTGTTATTCCAAGGCCAGTACACATAAAAACATCAAATGATGATCTGGAAAAATATACTTTTTATTTTTCTTCCAAAATTGCTGTCCAACTAAAATAGAACCATACAACCGGACTACTTCACAATGTTACTTGTGCATCAGCAGGTTGTGAACAAACAAAATCCACTCAGAAATGTCTACATCTGTTGAAAAAACCATATAGATTATTTATGAAACAAAAAACTGAAGTAAAACAGCTTAGTAGTTTGTATATAACATAAAGGTGATAAGTGATTACGTTTTATTGTGAAAAAAAACATGACCCCATGACTCAAAATATAGAGGATACTCATCTATATATTAGTATGTATTACATATCATAATGCAGCAGATGTTTGTACAACAGTTGTTGTCTGTATATAGTACTAGTAGTAGTAATCTTTATTTATATACCGCCTTTTCACTGCACATTGGAGTCTCAAAGCGGTTTACAATTGTTATTTTTGGGAGTGGGGGTGCCAGTACAGGAGGCACATGCCAGACCTAATGTACATATCTTTAGTGGTAGGGGAAACCAGAGCACCCGGAGGAAACCTACGCAGACACGGGGAGAACATGCAAACTCCACTCAGAAAGGCCCTGGTCCAACCGGGATTCGAACCCAGGATCTTCTTGCTGAGAGGCGAGAGCGCTATCCCGCCTGTGTATCTGTCCCTTCTCAAATAAACCAAATGCAATATATTTAAAGCAGTCCCTCCCTTTAGAATATGCATCACTAGTATTATTTGTTGAAGGAGCTTAACCTATGAGGGTGGGGCAGGGAAGCTTAATTAATTTAATTGCGTCCAATCAGAAACCTGTCAGGGCGGGTCTAACGTCTCTCCGTCTTCACAATTTAAAAAGTAATTAACCTTCACTTTAAATGTTGTCAAATCCAAACTACATGAATACAATGTTTACCCTGATAAGAGTGTGTCTGACCAATATAGTAAGAGATCCATGTTGACTCACAGTGAGGATTGCAATGAGCGCCCCCTGCAGGAGCCCCACCAGCACGTCGCTCCAGTGGTGCTTGTAGTCGGACACTCGGCTGTAGGCCACGAACACAGAAAACAGCACCAGGAAGAACTGGATGGTGGGTCGAACCAGCCGCGTCCACTTTCCCTGCATCCTGGCCTGCACGTACAGCTGCAGCGCAATGAGGAGGGTGTTACTATGGTTACGGCAGAGATTCCAATGCACAATACAGGGAGGGGGGCACTGGGTATGGGTTCATCTATACAGAAATACTATAAAGGGATTTAAAACTTGGATTTGTCAATAGGCTGCATTTATGTGACATCACAACATTTCAAAGAGCTTAAATGTGCAGTAAGCGATTTTGTTAGCTTAGCCGTAGCACCAACTGGAAACGACTCCCCCCATATAGACCCACAAAGACATGTGCAGTTTAAACAGTGCAAATGTTTGGTGAAAGTGTAGAAAGAGTTAAATCTGTCATCTTCCGGTCATTGTGCTGTGTTTATTTTTACAACAATGATATATTTTAAGCAAACACGAGGCGCCTGGTCCTTTGTGAACACGACGGTTCTCACTCACCGACAGAAAGAGCATGCAGTACATCCCGAACGAAGAGTGGCCCGAGTAGAAGGATAACCTGCCCAAAAAACATCACAGAGGAATCACAAGAGGATCATGACATCACACAGGACTTTAAGAACAGAAGGCATTTTAACAAGAAAACGTGCTTTACATTTTTAAAAATTCATTTATTGTGTCATCTTCATTAGTTCCCACTTTTTTCCCATAATACTTATTTTATCCTTTTTTCCCCACTATGCTCCCCTTCTCCCCCCCAACAAAATAAATACAAATAAAACAAAGCATAAATAAACTAAAGATACAAGCAAACAAGTATACAACATTTCCGGAAGATGTTTGTCTGCCCGTTTATGGTAATCACGTGATATCTGCCTAAACGTCATGGCAACAAAGTGCCCGAAAAAGCAGCCGATTAAATTCGTGCCAAAACGAGATTATGAATGATAACGCAATAACACTGATTGTTAGTGGTTGTGTGAAGCCATGTATTGTCAAATAAAGGGTTTTCTTTTATTTTCAAGTGATATTAACAACAGATATTGAAGCAAAATTTCTACAATAAACACAATAAATCCACCCCCAAAAAACAGGGTGGATTTAAATGAAGAATATTTCAAAAAGCTTTGTGTTTTTTTTATTTCTTTTGGATGATTTAAGTGTATTGCTTTTATAGATTAATTTCATTTGTCAAAGAGGGGTTTTCTATTTAAATTTTTTTGATTTGTGTATGTGAAACTTGCACGTGTCTGGCCTTTAAAACAGCGGCTCACCTGGACTCGGTGACGTGTCGGGGGTTTCCGGTGCAGTTGATCTGTAGCATGTATCCGTCACAGACAGTGGGGGCGCACACGGCTAAGAAGTTGGGTCTGGGTCGTCCTATGCTAAATTTTGCCAAATCTGTGAGGGACTGACTGACCGCGGCGCCGAACAGAAACGTGCCCACGATCTTATACAGTGCGCACAGGTACTGGTTAAACTGGGAGTTGGAATGCAGCCGGTGGGAATAGACCAGGTAGGCCTCCCCTGTGGTTATCTGTGAACACATTCAAGACTGGGTTAGATTGTGGAAGAGTGAGTGTGGCTAAATGTGACTATAATGATATAAAATAAGCTAAAAAACATATTTCATGGTTTAAAATAAGGAAATTAATCCATTTGGCTGCTTTCGTTATATCAGCCTTACCTTTTAAATTTGAACCCAGACCAAAATTCATTAACTAAGGCGACACAATGCAGCACCTATTTTTTCACTACTTTTATTAAGTAATTTTATTGCTAATTTTAATGCTAGAAATGCATAATTGTGAGGGAGTATCATGTTATCTCAGCGGCAATGTTTTATATACATGTATGGAAACACTTTTTGGAAGTGGCCTCATTAATCACACACTTTAGAACCGTGATTATAACATCCATCACATGGCACCACCAGCTGAAACTGATACAAAAATGAAACTCTGCAGCTTTTTTAACAAAGTAAAGTCATTTTCATTAAAGTGTCTTCTCACATTATGTTCTTTTCATGTTATTGTGGGTCTAAGTTGGGTCTGGTCTTACCACTGTAGATATGCCGACATATGATCCTAATCACTGTATGAATCCAGGTCTTTTTTTTAAAATATGGAACGTCTTTTGGCAGAGGTCTGCGCTTTCTGACGCCTTTTCAAGTTTACAAATGCATTTATTCACAGATTGTTAAATATATATTTTTTTTTAACAAATCAACCTACTTATCTCCAATGAAGATGAAAATGTTTAGTGCCATATCGTGGGACATTCCAGACCAAACAACAACATTCAAATTTAAAAGCAGAAGACTTAATGGCTACTTACTTGTTGCACATGAACCAAATAAGTTACAGCACACCTTTATCAGATATTTCAACCATATTTCATCTTTACCCTCTGTGTAGACCAAATATATACTTGTGAGTGCGAACAGTACAAACTCACGATGACGATGGAGCAGATGATGGTGACGGCCGCCATGCTTCCGTGGGAGATGGTGTCTCTCTTGTAGGGGAAACTGATGCTGACGTCGTCACAGTAGATCCCCCTCTGATACGGACTGAACATGAGGGTCAAGATGGCCGAGGGCAGAGCAGCTGGACACACGGACAAAAAACAGGTCAATAACAGTCATACAATAACAACATGATTCAGATTCAGTTTATATTTGCCATTTCCAGTAAAATCACATTCAAATACATACAAAAGTGGTCGTACTGTTTTACTGGTGTGTGTGTGTTTGTGTGTGCATCGTCTGTATTAATAAAAAGTTAATTGATTGATTGATTAAAGTGCCCCATTTTGCACAGAAACAAGTACATAAATAAAACAAGCTAAAAAGCACAAGAAATAATTGCCAGTGGGAAACGAAATCAACAAAAACAGCAAGATCTTTAAATTGACTGATAACAGCTTGTGGAAAGAAGCCGTTAGCATATTGATATGTCTATGCGAACGGTATCTTCAGCCAGAGGGAAGAAGCTGGAACATGGTTTTATATGGTGGCTACAAGGCCCCGGGGCAGAGCATTTCCTGACGTATCACTACAATGATAAAACCCGGAATCATCATACAGGTCACCATATATATTTGAAGCATTGTAGCGTCTGCGACAAACAACAGCGACCTGAAAACTTGGCAACAACGTGTTTATGAGGCACATTCAAACAGAGGCTTTTGTGAGTCATGGTCTGCAGTGATTGAGGACACAGAAGAGGTGGAGTGAATGACGTAAGTGGTTTGTCGCCGGCTGAGAACATAATACAGGACCTAAAGTACATCTTGACCTTTGTGAACAATTTTGTATTATTTTTATACTTTGCTTCTTTATTAAGCTAATTACAGAGATGTTTTCTCCTCATTTCTACTGTTCTGTAACTTGAAAATTCCCCACTGTGAAAAAAATATAGGATCACAATACCACAAAAACATACACTCATGACATGAAAATCTACAAAAAATGGCAAATCTGCACAAAACCAAGAGAATATCATTTAAAGAAATACTAGTTGAAGTCTATCCACAGCACTATACTATGAATCTAAGATGGTGTTGTAAATGATTTGTAATAGAGCAAATATTTAGTTTGTTCAAGTATCTGCCAAAGAAACAATATTTACAAGGAAACATGTCTCTCTCAAGTCCAATTAAAACATGCATTCATTTCTGGTTCCTTGGCTACAATGTTACACAGCTGGGCTAAAATCACTAAATATATTTTTTTTTACTGCAAATGAATAACAATTGAATCAAAATTACAACTTGACGATTAGAAAATACCAAAGACTACCATCTTTTTGTATAGAAATCTCAGTAACTAGAAGCTTCTTAGTCTTGGACATATGCTTATTTCATCCTAATTTTACCCGTATTGGAAAATTCGTAATTTAGCGATTTTTATGTGAATCATGCATGTTGGAAAATGTAGAAACAAGCTCACTTTAGTTAACCAAAATTGTGAAAACCGGCAGAACGTTTGGGCCGTTTGGACTGTTCTGAAGTTGTAGTTCTGAGCTCGATAACAAGGAATCACATGTATATAGCCATGTATATATATATATATATAGTATAGTTACTTACTTCTGGGTTAAGGCAGAGAGCCACATAAAATCACACTGGGGGGCCAGACTTTGGACATACCTGCCTTTCAAATAAAGTGTTTTCACAAAAACTAACAAAACATTTGGTATTCTAATCATAATCATAATGCCATAAATACCACAGCGATTATATAGTTATTCATAGTCAAATCGGTGCAGCACTATTGTATGTCCCCATGTTTGGTCATATTTCCAGGTATACAACGCTTGTCTTTGGGCACACAGGGTCAGGAAACAGCTGAAACCACAGCAGAGGGCTTTTCTGTCTGCTCTGTGTCTGTGCTGCGTTTGTCATCATCATAACATTCGCCTCAACAATGATGAAGCCTCCCCTCGCCATGGCAACAACCCTGACCATTGACACCAGGATGTGCTTCACATACCAGCGACATGTCGGGTCACACCGGGTTGTAGGGAGCACCATTCTCCTGTCTTTTCTACGCAATTACAGCAATACAATGTTTTTTTACAAAGTGAAGTATAATATTCCTGAATCCTTTGCCGCTTTAGAGCAGTATGAAGGAACATGCAAAAAATATATTTAATTTACGTTAGCTTGGCACCGTCACAGGGACAGATGTGTTGCTATAAGGCATTCCTCTGCAAATCAATCTTGGTCAATCTTTATGGCTCGGATATGAATTTACTAAAACAACAAATCAACATAATAAAAAAGACACAAAAGCTTACTGAGCTAGAGAAGTTTGGAACAAAAGTGTGTCTATGTGTCTTCCCTTTTGGGCTTCATTGAGCTACGGGGTTAGCATTGTCTGTCTATATACTGTACAGTCTATGCTAAAATCAAGCCAAATCTTCAGAGAACTCACTATGTCTTCTTTCTGCTGCTGTCCCATACACAAGTATAATACATAATGCACCTGTTGAACCTAATATTTGAAGATCTCTTAGTAATGACATAAATAAACAGCATAAACCAAATGCAGGTTGAGTTTTCTCTCCAGTAACGCCGTCGCTGCTGAGCGTGTCTCATTCTTCCTCAATTGTTGAGTTTCTAAACATCTTTCCACATTCTTGGGCTTGGTCTCGGGTGGCGTTGGCTGATTCCGGGCACAGCTTATAGTTTCCTTGAGTGTAAACAATCTTACAGAGGCGTTTAAAAGAGCACTGGGTGTAAAACTGTCTCTTAAATCTGAACAGGACAATGGCCCAAAGCGAGCGACTGATGTCACCAACATTCTGCCATTCAAGACTGAAGGTGTTTTCTTTTTTACAGAAATGCTATTTCCAAATATGACAACTTGAGCTAGAGACTAGAAAGTATGATTATTGCTCTAATCCAATATAGTCAGTGTATGTGTAATTTATACATTTTGTTTTGGAATAGGGTCAATGTTCACTCTAGTGTTCACTCTACGTAAAACCAGGGCTAACAGCTTTATACTTTCGCTTGTATGTAACATGTAATTTGGAGCTGTAAGGATTAATAATAAACTAATCACAACTACTACTATTGAGCGCACCGTATATAAGCCGCACCAGCTAAATTTGACAGAAGATATATTTTATAGGAGACATATATATATATATGTACATATACATATATAAAAAAAATAAAAATAAACTCTTATCTTGCCCCACTTTAGTCGAACCAGGGCCCCCCTTGTCCAGGGGCTGAAAACCTAAAAGGTAAATAGTTTTGACTGGATAGGGCTGTTGAGGTTTGCTAAGTCTATGGATTCACATTTGACAGAAGTCTATTAGTGCTTACTATCTCACTTCAGTTACATTAACAGAAGATATGGAATTTTAGGACAGGGTCAAAAACAAATGTCTGTATACACAAGTAAAGTTAACAACAAGATTCCAGAGTTTCTGAGCTTCACAGCGAGGTATGGCTGTATTGATGGAGCTGAAGTTGGCTCAATGACACTGTGAACTTGTGTTTGGCTAGTTTGTGTTAGTTAGACGGAGGGCCACGTAACTTGACACAGAGGGCTGCGTTTGGACCTGCCTGCCGAGAAGATGTTCTTCCTCAAATCTATAATAAAAAAGGAGTTGTTTATAGGTTGTAATGAGGTTTCATGTTACAAACTGTTATTAATGACATTGAAAAGTACTAACATTGAAAGGTGAGGAGGCTGGTGTCTTGATTCTGTAATTCCATTGAGTGGCTTTCACTAACAAATCACTTCCTTCCCCAAGAGTCGTGACCGAGTCCCTGAGTGACAGGACTAACCGACTCCACGTGAAGACACACAATTAGTCAGAAAAACAGGCTAATTGAGGGAACGCTGTGTAAACATGAGCTCATTTGAACCTAACGCAGAAGGATGTATGTTTGGTGACTGGAGGCAGCTGCTGCGCCTCTGCGGCAGCTATAGCGTCAGCGACTGGGACACAGACTGGACCTGTGTTGTATCAGCAGAACCATCTCTAATATGGGCTTCTGTTTCTCTCTCTTATCAAATCTTACTGGGCACTTTCTGAGACGATGGACCACTTCAGTAAAGCTGTAACAAGTTCATCAATCAATCACAACTAATTGAATATTGCCAACTAATTTTGTAATCACAATTTTGTTATTTAAAAAAACAAATTATTATTGTTTTATAATTTTTATCTTGGGGCGACAGTCGCTCAGTTGTCAGAGCACTGGTCTTTGGACCCAATGGTGGGTTCGAGCCCACCACAACCCATGTCACTTACTCCCAATGATGTCTGCTGTCGTTGTGTCCCTGGGCAAGACACTTTACCCCACATTGCCTGACGCCCCCGCTGAAAGACCAAGGCCATCGATGACAGAGAAGCCATCTTCCCGAGGACTCACCACCTGCAGAGACTGGTGCAATGAGACTTGGGTGGTAGCTTTGATTGCCACCCCCCTGACTCAGAAATGGATTTATAAAGGGGTAGAAAATGATATGACAAAATTACATTTTTATCTGTCTGTTTTTAATTGCAAAGCGCTTTGTGTCCCTGGTCTGTAAAAGGCGCTATACAAAAAAACTTGACTTACTTACTTCTAATGTTGAACTTCACAACTTTTCATGACTTAAACAAGCAGAGAAAATATCATGCTAGTGTGCCTTTGGAAATGATCAAATCTCACCTAATGTGAAAAGATAACAATGTTTTGTGAGAAGATTAGAAATACTGCACTGGTTTGATTTTCTATATAGTGTACTTTAATGAGATGGCTTTGCTTTGTTAATTAAGACTGCAGAGATTCATGTTTATATCTGTTTTAGCTGATGATGTGCCATGTGTGTCCCACGGCTTGAAAAAAGTTTGGGGAACACTGACTCAGATCACTCTATAATGACTAAATAATGAATTGAAAATGTGTTTACAATTCATTATTTAGTCATTATATTATATTTATATATATATATATATATATATATATATATATATATATATATATATATATATATATATATATATATATATATATAATTCATTATTTAGTCATATATATCTGAGTAGTGTTCCCCAAACTTTTTGGGGAACATATATATATATATATATATATTTGG